TTATTGTTCTAACCAGCGCCCAAAACCCGCTTCGCGGGCCTTGGGCGCTGGAATGCGCCTTTGCATGAAAAATTTGACTTTCCGATAGCTTCGGACCCCTTCCCCCCACCGGCCACACCTGCGCGTGCAAATTGCAAGAATGAGGAGATTTGTATTTTTCCGCATTATGCAAATTAGTCCTCAGGGACCCCCAAAAATGAATAAAAGCGGCTTTAACTTTGTAAACTTGTATTTTATCAAAATTCTGAAAACGCCATCGGAAAGAGAAGGGTCGATTCCTCCGGGTGACGGAGAATTGGGGCATTTTATGCACGGGAAGGCCCTCAAATCGGGCCTCGAAAGTGACATCCACACACACACACACACACATACGCGACCAAATTATATAAGGTAGGATTCTTATCCTATCCTATAAGCGAGAAAAGTATGTTTGTTTTCTGTGCAGCCGATTTCTCGGCCGTCAGGCCGAATTTCGCGCTGATTTTTGGCATGGAGGTGGAGAAACACATCCTCTTTATAAGCATTTTTTGGTTTTTCGAAATTCCTTCATTTAACGATTTTACAAGCGAAATAGTGAAAAACCCTTAACATTTTGGTCAAAAAAAGGTTTGTACAGAGGATATCTCGCGATCTAAATGGAATTGGGCGCTAATTTTTGGAGGGTAGATTGAGAATTGAATTCTCCCGATATATAATTCTGCGTTTTGTCAGATTTTGTAAAATGAAGTTTTTATGAACATTTTTATAAAAAGTCCTTAATAAAGTGGGCCAAGAGCCGTGGTGTCCGGGCGATATCTCAGAGCCCAGATGGAATTTCGGTCTGTAATTTGGAACACTTATGTATCCGATAGTGGGGATCACGCGCATCTTATTATCTTTGTAAATTTTCAGCTGATTCGTACTCGAAAACCGAATTTTGTAAAGTGACCAGTAGGCCTCCCTCCGGGGATCATTGGGTTGCCCTTTTCTTTGTCTTCCCCGCCCCCTTTCCCCAGGACAGATGAGGGCTTTCCCGCCGCCTGTTCGTAGCTGTCGGATGGTGTAGTGGCTTTGCGCCCGGTCTACCATGCGCATGGTCGTGAGTTCGAATCCTGGGAGAATTTAATTTTTTGCTTTTTGGTAGTTCATTAACAAAGCATATTTCTAGGCTCTGGGTGCGCGAGATTTAGGCCTGGCTCTCGCTCTAGCGCCGCAGGCCAAAGAAAAGGTCCTTGGTCCAGGCTCTTGCGCCGCAGGCAAAGGATGGGTTTTTGAGCTAGGCTCTTGCGCCGCAGGCCAAATCTGGGAGAAAAACCAGTAACTAGCACTGCAGGTAAAAAGATTCTAGCGCGTTTAGGCCTGGATCTCGCTTTAGCGCCGCAGGCCAAAGAAAAGGTGCTTGGCCTAGGCCCTCGCGCCGCAGGCCAAATCCTCGAGAAAAACCAGTAACTAGCGCTGCAGGCAAAAAGATTCTAGCGCGAGGTTTAGGCCTGGCTCTCGCTTTAGCGCCGCAGGCCAACGAAAAGGTCCTTGGACCAGGCTCTGGCGCCGCAGGCCAAAGAATGGCTCCTTGACTCACATTCTTGCGCTGCAGGCTAAAAAAAGAAGGTATTCGAATTCATCGTTCCTGGACGGGGTCCAGTGGAAAAGGGCCGCGAAGCGGGCTTTTTCCACTGGTTCTAATTAAGCCATAAACTGTGCAGCTCAGCTGTCGCGTGTCGAAGCGGCAACTGACCCAAGGAATCCGTAGCAAGAAATCCATGTCTTATTTAAAGAGCCATGCAAGGCGAAACGTTTCGCTTGCCCGTGTTGACCCCCTCACTTCCAGACATCCTATTTTGCACTTGCCGACCTTTCTCACGACATTGTCGGCAACAAGGGGGAAACCGGTCGTCATTAGGTGTGTCTGTTGTTTGCGTCAAAAGGACAGTTCGGAAATTTGTCGGGTATATAGTAGTGGCGTGGAGCAGAGATGGGGAGTATGGTTTTGGATCAACTGATACTGGGGTTTCGAGGGTAGGAGTTTTCACGCTTGCTCTCTCTGACTCTCTCTCTCTCTCTCTCTCTCTCTCTCTCTCTCTCTCGCTCTCTTTCTGTCGCTATCTCGCTTTTTTAGAACTTTAAAGTAACTAAGGCTTAGGCTCGGGCTTGGGATCAGGCTTAGGCTTAGCTTCCCGCGTAGGCATAGGTTTAAGCTTAGGCTTAGGTTTAGGCTTAGGCTTATGTATAATCCATCAAAAACTACACGCTGCACTTGGTGATCAGTTTTCCCCTAATTTCTCTCTGTTTTGTTTGCCCATCACGCGGGTTGTCACCCGCGCGCGCGGCAGCCATATTTTTTCGCACGCCAGTTCATTCCGCGCCGCGTTCCAGATTCATTGCCGATCGGCCTGAAGGGGTTTTTGATCCGAGGACTGTTAAACTGATAAATTTCCTATTATGCTTTTAATTAAAATTTAGTTCGATCTATGCAAACTAACTCCATTTTTTTAGGAAATGAGGATACCGCTACTATTGCTGAGTATATTTGGCGTCAGCTGCGCATACTTGGACCCATCCGTAAGGGAATCCCCAGCATTAAGGTATATTTTTTGATAATTCCAGTTCCGCGGGTCTTCCTACGAGCTCATTCGACACCTGGTGAACGGTCCGATGCGAGGACAGGCTAAGAGGTGGATGGAAGAGATTTGTGATGATTTCGGGCCCAGGCTGGCCGGGACACAGGCGTTAGAGAGGTAAACGAATTGACAATTGCCTATTCCTGAATAATCTCTGCTAGCTCGCCATTTCCGAAGGAGACCTTGCTAGCTTACGTTTTCCGAGAGCATCTCTGATAGCTGGCCTTTTCCTAAAAGATCGCTGCTAGCTCATCATTCCATATCGCATCTCTGCTCGCCTACCTTTAATTTTTAGCTCCATTGACGCCATCACCCAAAAGCTACGCCTCGATGGCTTCCAGAACGTCCACACTGAGCCGGTGCCCGGAATCCCGCATTTTGTGAGAGGAGAAGATCGGGTTACTGTAACTGGTGAGTTTCGAGAGAGAGAAAAAGGGAAAGATAGAGAGAGCGAGGGAGAGAGAGAGAGAGAGAGAGAGATAGAGAGAGAGAGAGAAATAACAATCAAACATCATCGGTTCTTTAGCCCCGCGACGAATGGATCTGAACATCCTGGCGATCCCTGGAAGTAAGCCGGGCCGAGTTCGAGCTGAAGCTGTTGTGCTGGAGGACAGAAATGATATTAAGGTGAGTTACGGCAGTTTTGCTCCTCGCTCTGACTCTCTCTCACTCTCTCTCTCTCTCTCTATTTTATCGCATATTTTAGCCCCACCGTGTAGCCGGCAAAATCGTGGTGATAGTAATGCCCTGGAAAGGTTACACCTGGACCGTTCAGCACCGACAGCTTGGAGAAGAGGCAAGCGCTAAAATAGCGAAAATTATTTATTATATATTTGACATATTTTACTCATAAACTTTCTTGGTTCAGGCAGCGAGATACGGCGCCGTTGGACTTCTTGTAAAATCCGTAGCCCCATCAAGCATGGGTAGCCCGCATACCGGATGGGGAGGTAAGTGAATTCTAGTTAATCTAGTTTAAGTGTGAGCCTGAGCATGAGCCTGAGCCTAAGCGGAGCCTGACAAGGAGTCGTTTCTGGGTGATATTGGAGTTTTTGAACGAGACCTAGCTAGTTCGATAGAGAAAAAAATTCTGAACAAGATGTCGGTTTCCAAATCTGCTAACCGTGTATTGTATTCAATAAAAATTAATCTTAATGAAAAAATTCCTGGACGTCAGGCTGCGACCCATGGATCAGGCCCGGGACATAGCCCAGAGCGCGAACCAGCATCTGCATGAGATCGTGGCCTAGTGGATAGTGCCGGCGCCTATCAAACTTTTGCAAATTTATGCCCAGGGTTTGGAACTTATTGTGATTTATTGTTTTGCTTTTTGGTTTTTCATGCCATTGAAATCGAATTTGGCATTATCGAGCAAAAAGCAAAAGAGTTTTACTAGCGAGGAGTCGAACCCGCTGGCAAAAAAGACAAAAACTGATGAAGCAAGCGCACTACCAATAGGCCAGCTGGTTACGGCTGGAGGGAGGCCTAAAGCGGGCTATGTTGACACGCACCCTGAGCGCAGAATCTGCGGATCAGGCGGAAAATGATGGTTAGATTAATGATTTTCAAATTAATTTTTATTGAACAACGTACACGGTTAGCAGATTTGGAAAACGACATCTTGTTCAGAATTTTTTTTCTCTATCGAACTAGCGAGGTCTCGTTCAAAAACTCCAATATCACCCAGAAACGACTCCTTGTGAGCTAAGCTTAGCAAGCCTAAGCAAAGCTCAAGCAAAGGCTCAGCCGAAAATTTAGAAATTGAACTTTATTTTAATTTTTTTAGAAGGTTCGATCCCAGCTGCCTCGCTGACCGTTGAAGAGGCCGAGATGCTAAAACGGTAGGTGGAAATATTTTTAGAAAAGATGCTTGCGCTTTCCTAAGGAATTTCTGTTAGCTTACCCATTCCTCAAAAATCTCTGCTAGCCTACCTCCCCAAGGACCTCTGCTAGCTTGCCAGTTCCGCAAAGAATCTTTGCTTGCTTGCCTCTTCCCTAAGGATCGCTGCTAGATTTCCCGCTCCCAGCCTATGTTTCCTTAAAAATCTCTGCTATGTAGAGTGCGATGTCAAAAGGTTTTCCGTTGTTTTGCGTTAGCCTAAGAATCTCTGCTAGCTTGCCCGTTCCCCAAAGCGTTTCTGCTAGCTTGCCTCATCCCTAAGAATCTCCGCTAGTTTGCCTCTTCCCTAAACTTCCGAGTTTTCCAGCTGGTCCCAGCGCGGCAAGCGCATCACCATCGATATGGACATCCGGTCGAGGGTGATGCCCGATAAAGTAATGTCCCGGAATACGGTGTTCGAGATTAAAGGTATAGGCGATTTTCTGGGCTCAAATTTGAATATTTTGAAGGCTCTCACCATCCCCATGAAATCGTGTTGCTGTCAGCTCATTTGGACTCGTGGGATGTTGGACAGGTATGGAAATTTTCAAATAATCTCTGCCGACCAATTTACCTTTCCCTACGAGGATTTGCTAGCTGACTCTTTCCCAAAAATTCCGGCTGATATGCCCTATTTTTTTCAGGGAGCCCTCGATGATGCCGGCGGCTGCGCAGCGGTGCTTTACGCCATGAAAGCAATTAAAGAAATGGCTGACAGGAATCCGAGATACCGCCCGAAACGGTAAGGATCAATCAAAATACTATTAATCGACATTAAACAAAATAATTTTTGGGCAGAATTTTACCCTACATTTTCAGGACGATCCGCGGAATTTTCTGGACAGCCGAGGAGCAGGGATTCATCGGGGCCCATCAATATTATGCGGATCACGGGGATGGACAACGAGGAGAAAAGGTAATACCTTAGAAGTACCTTAAAAAGACAAGAACCTAACCTAAATTACTTGGCGATTACCTACATGATAGCGGCAGAAAGAGCTGCTTCTTGCGTGCTTTCTCACGATCTCTCTCGCTCTCTCTCTCTTTAAAAATCGATTAAGCGTCCGTTCGAGTCAAATAACCATCTTTTTCAGTTCGTGTTCGTCTCCGAGTCGGACAACGGTGCCTTCAAGCCGACAAACTCCACGTCGAATCTGGCATTCAAGGGAAATCGAGAACAGGTGAGAACGTAGGAAATATCCCTTGGGAAAGGGCGGGCTAGCAGAGATTATTGGGGAAGGAAGGTTGACGTTACTCATGTTCCTGATTTTCAGATGGACATCATGCACGAAATCGTGGCCATCATCAATGCCTACGGGATCCCGTTGAAGACAATCTACAGTAATGCACAGGTACGGTAATCCGAGAGACCGAGAGAGGGAGAGAGAGAGAGAGAGAGAGAAAGAGAGAGAGAGAGAGAGAGAGAAAGAGAGGTAATAACAGAACGCGAGAGAACGCTAGAGAAAGGCAGAGAGAGAACGAGAGAAAGGGAGAGAGAGAGGGAGAGAGAGAGAGGGAGAGAGAGAGAGATGGGCAACGGAACTTTGAGTACAAGCAAAAATTTGTAATTTCAGGGCGACGTGGGCCAATTTGCACTCGATGGCGTCCCGTCGACAATGTATATTTCTGATAAAGGTTTGTTATTGCAAAAAATCTTGAAAAGGTATCGAAAATATCGAAATGTTTCATCTTCAGAACTCAAAAATACCGATTTAAAATTCAATGGTCTCAAAGAGTAAAGGTTTTGCGACTGTAACTCTTTTTCCAAATCTTCAAAATTTGCTATATTCAAAATTCAGGCTGGGAATTCTACTTCAACTTCCACCACAGCGCCGCCGACTACTCGGACAAGGTCTCCGCCGAGGACATTGATCATACGGCTGCCATTTTTGCCGTGTTGGCCCACGTTATCGGGAATATGAGGGAATGGGTACGGTAGAATCCGGTTTACGGTTTACTGTACCACTTTAAACATACTTTTTGTTCTTTATCTTAATTTGTATTAAACCTGTGATCGTGCTTTCCTGTACTTCCTTTAATTTTTGTGAAAATGCCTTTCATCCCGTGTTTCCGCTCCATTCCGCACCTGCACTCTAGTCACACGCCCAGCTTTCCACTCTGTATTTATTTGCCGCTTTGCATATATGCGTCTATTAGTGTGCAATTGAGAATTGTGTACGTATCGGGTTCTTAAATTGATACTTTGTTTGCATCATGGTTCTTTTAATTTCAACGTGATACTTTTAGTGGCTTGCTATACTTACGCAAGCTAAATAAAGTGTATCTATGTCCAGCAAATTGTCCAGCCCAAAACAATCGACCCCTTCTAGTGGTCCGGTGAAAGGGCGGATCGAGAGGATTTTTACACCATTCTAAAGCCCTTGAAACGGCGAGAAAACAAGTGCTTTTCGTTTTACAAAATTCCTAGCCCGCGTTCGGTATTCAACGAATTCTTAAAAAAGCGTAAATCTGCCGGTCCCTCGCCCCGATATCCATTCGCCGTGGACTCGCAAGCCATAGCAATTGACCGGCTCGGTTACGTCAGGCCACACAGCGCCCCCGCCGCGTCCACCGAATGCACCCCCGGAAAAATCTACGGGCAACCCCCGATCGCCTCTTTTTTGCCGTTGCAAGACATAACAGAGCTGATGGTCATTTCTCAAGGCACAGCGAGCGACCATCTGGGTTCTAAAAATCGCGTTCACGAGGTATCTTAAAAATCGGATCCCATCGGTGAAAAATTGCATCAGAAAGGCGGTGATCGGGGCGCTGGCTTTTTGGAGTTAGCCTCGAACTCTATAGGACTGATTTGGAGCGTTCAACCGGCCCGGTTGCAACTTCGATGGTTCCTATGAAATCACGAAAATCCGGACGATAAAATGCCTAGAAACTGAGGCATGGTCGAGGAAATGGCTCGAGTAGTAAAGTAGTCCGGTGGGCATTATTTTGAAAATTATGTCTCTTTTAAAAAGCTCGTGGAGGTTAGAAAAACTAAAGAAGAAAGAAAAAAACCAAAAAAAACCTGCAAAAGGCGCAAAAACGAGTCAGTTCTCTCTCTCTCTCTCTCTCTCTCTCTCTCTCTCTTTTTTTCCCTCTCCTTCCCTTTCTCTCATTCTCTCTCACTCTCTCGGTGTCTCTCTCTGTCTCTCTCACTCTCTCACACTTTCTCTCTCGCGCTCTCTCGCTCTCTCCCTCTCTCTCTTTTTCACGCTCTCTCTAACTTCATAACCGCCTTACAGCTCGAGGTATTCCCTGTAGCCCCTCATTTCCCAAATCGAAATTTTCTTTTCCGGTATGACCAACCCCCGCCCCGTTATCTCCCCGATTTTTTCTGACCCGAATCTCAGCCTGTTTAGGGCCCATATTATGGGAGACTCGAAGATTTCCTCGACAACGGCCTGGGTACAATGTGGAGTGACCGGTTGGGGTTATCAGCAGCCATTTTCCGGGGGCATCGCGTGAAAATTGACACCTTGAGGGTTTTTTTTGAAAGGCGAAAAATAGATTTTGTTCTCGTAAAACCGCCATTATCAGGTTTAATGGGGCTTGGAAGGCAAAATTTTTCAAAACTGGTGGTGGCAAATCTCTTGATCGAAATCCCGTTGTCTAAAATCGAATTGAAGGCAGAAATAAAGCGTTTTTGTAGACTTCACGACCCCTTGAGAGGGCGTAAGCTATTATTATCTACGGTATTACGCTTTTTAAATGATAGTTGAGCTGCCAGTTAATATAACTTTCCACCCCCAGTGTTCCCCAGCCCCGACCGCCCGATGGCTCCACGTGGGGGAGTCCTCTGCATCACTGCGCCCTGTCTATTTGCCTGATCTCTCGCCGTCTCGGTCCGTTCGATCGACCAGAGCAGCCGTTTTTTTTTCGGCGGCCGACCAACAACAACTCCGATGCGGGGGACGCGGCTCCACAGTTCGGCAAACAGCAGCGATTTCATTGAATTGGGGTTCAGGGCGAAACTTGATGTCGCGATGGGTACTGTCATTGGGGTTGGCTGTACTTTAAATGCACGGGGAAGCCAGGATCAGGCAAAATTGCTTGCTCTACGCATTAATGATCAAACACTGTTTTTGGGCGCGAGGGACTCAAAATTTCTGTCGGTTTAGCGTAACTCGCATAGCTCTCCAAAAAGTCGGTCTATGAGAATATTTCTAGAGTTTTGCACGACCTGAAATCAACTATAAGAATTCAGTAGTGGTCTCGGTCCGTCCGTCTGTCAGAAGCCAACTATAACCCGAGGGGGGAAGGAGCTAGAACTTAGGTCTCTTCGAATTCGGATAGCGCGCGGTCAGAAAACCCCAAACTGATCAAAAAATATGTAAAAGTTTTCGTTTAAATTATTAGATTTAACTTTGAAAGTGACGCCTTAAAGGGGCTCCGAAATCTGGTCCACGGCCCCCTGCTGTGATTCCTGGCAAATAGCCAGATGCCGCCGCAACGCGACCGCGCCGCATGATCTGTTGCTCCTCTTTCGACTCGCAAACGCTTGAATTTAAAAATTCCTGATACTATTTTCGGAATCCTCAACGAATTTCCATCATTCCAAACATTTAAATGATGAAAATTGACCAAAGAATCACCGAGATCGAGAGATTGGGTGCCTTACAAGGCATTACGACATGTAATCGCCGCGCACTCAATATGTCGTTTTCGCCCCAAAAAGAATTCGGTTTTCCTCAAACATTTTACGTTTTTTCGCAATAAAATCGCTTTCTTAGCACTTCTCGGCAGTGGCCCTTTCGTTTTTTGACCCGTAGGTTCAATCCCCGCACGCACGAATTTTGACTTCTGAGCGCCTTTAATAACACGAGTGGGAGCAGACTTTTGCATGATTCTGGACATAGTGAGCCAGGTAGCGCGCGTTTCGGCGATGGGCAGAGAGCGGGGGGAGGGTAGCCCGAAGTCCAGCCAACCCAAGCTGATATAGTGACAATCAGCCGGAAAGAATCTGTGAAATATAACTGCGAACGCTCATGGATTTCCTGCTAATTTCCCACCACCCGGCCATATTAAAGGGACCGGTAAGTCTTGCATACCAGTTTTTCCGTGGTCGTTTTTGCATAAAATACGCTCGCACCGGTTTCATGTGGATGGGGATTTCAATAAATCCCCTAAAACGCAAATTCTAGGGTTTGAGATCTCCACTTTTTCAAATTTAAGGCATTCGGCGGTTCGTTTGAAGTGTTGGCCTTCCGGGCCGCTGTAACATTCACATCCGTTTTTCTTCTTCTGCCCACCACTCTCCGGACCACAACATTAAATTCCCACTTGCTAATGCAGTGCGATCGGGCGATGCTGCTCGTTTCCAGGAAAACTTCGGCCAGGGTTCCGGGGCCGAATTTTTGTCGGCCGGCGAACCCACTGTGACCGGACCGAGCAGGGGGAAAACAATGGACTGCCCGGGTGTAAGGATACGGTATCTCTCTCTTTCCCTGATCCTAATTGACAGCAGGGGGGTGCTTGCTGCGACGGTGAGGTGCATTTTTACGATTTCGTCGCCGTGGGGATCAGCCCATCAGGCTGATTGTGGGTTGGGGGAACACCCCCCACGTGGGGGCAACGAACAAATGGTATTGATCGGTTTAAAGGGACTGGCAAGGCAATAGATAAGCAAATTTTTCAGGAAGCTACAAATAGGGCTCCTCCTGAAATCCTGCTCACCTTAAGGAAATTTTTTAGAATTAATTTTTTTTAGATTTTTTGGTTACGATTCAGTTTTCGCGCGGCCCTGTTTTGTGAAGAATTTTGCGCTTCATCCAAATCCGCCTTCAAGACCTTCCAAACGACCAGCATCAAAAAGTTATGGAGGTTTTAAGTGCGAAAAAGGCCCAGAATGGCCTAATTTCGGCAATTTTTTTGCCTGTTTCGGGTTAAAACGGGTTATAACTTTTGAATCTGGCTTTCGTCTAGCAGATCTGGGATCAGCGCGAAATTCTGCACAAAATAGGCCCGTGCGGAAACTCGTTTGTCACTAAATAACTCGCCTTCAACACGAAGCTTCCTCAAGCCATTTCCAATTCCCCTTAAAAAACCCCTGAACCCCCAGAAAATTTTGGAACCTTCCCGATAGCCGTCATGGCAGTTACCTTTTAATCGTCTACCCCCAGCGAAGTACATTTCTTTCCATCCCATCAACAGTCTTATCAACCAACCAGTCTAGGGGCCGCCGGTGGGCGCGCGTCAACAACTTGATGCCTGTTTTCTTCTCTCGTGCCCCCCCCCCCTCCCGAATTTGCAACTGCGATTACGGGCTGTAAATAGGCGTTCACCGGGGATGGTGTTGTTTACCGACGTGTGAATTTGGGGGAAACCTGGTTTCCGGGATCAGGTGGAGACGGTTTTAAAGGGGTGGTACTCGGATTGAGAGAGAGAACGAGAGACGAGAGAATGAGAATGAGGAAGAGGGAGAGACGAGACGGAGAGGACCTGATTGATTGTGAGACAGAGCGAGTGGGAGAGCGAGAGAGAGTTAGTGAGAGAGACGTGAGAGCGAGAGAAAGAGAGGGGTGGGGGGGGGGGGGGGGGGGAGAGAGAGGAGAGAGAGAGAGAGAGAGAGAGAGAGAGAGAGAGGGGGAGAAAGAGAAAGGAGGGGGAGAGAGAGGGAGAAAGAAAAGGGGGGAAGAGAGGGGGAGGGGGAGAGGGAGAGAGAGAGGGGGAGAGGGGGGGGGGGGGGGGGGAGAGGGGGGGGGAGGGGGGGGGGGGGGGGGAGGGGGGGAGAGGGAGGGAGGGAAAGGGAGTAAGAAAAAGAGGGGGGGATGGTAAAAGAGGGGGGGGGGGGGGGGGAAAGAAAAAGAAGGGAGGGGGGGGGGGGAAAAGGAGGGGGGGGGGGGAGGGGGGGGGGGGGAGGGAGAGGGAGAGAGGGAGAGAGGGGGGGGGGGGGGGGGGGGGGGGGGGGGGGGGGGGGTAGCTTGCCATAAATATTTTTCTGTAGTCATTAACTTGCACACTAAAACTATACCTACCACAGGCCACACATTTTGCACTGGAGCCGGGACAATTAGGTCCACCGACAACAGCACAACAACCCAGCGGCAGGCCACCAATCTGTGATCGGGAGTCGACTCCGGCCAAAATCGTAAACACCCGCTAGCCCCTCGAGCCACCAACAGATCGTCTGTTCGGCGGAAAGCGGTGGACAAAACCAGACACATCACATTGTTTGCTGGCGGGCTGGGTAGTGGCGCTGGCAGTCCGCAGCTCTTGTTGGTGCTGCTGCAGAAAAGACCGTCGAGATTGATTGTTTTTGCGGGAAAGAAGAATTTTTGTTTTGCTTAAGGTTTTGGATATTGCGCGAGTTGTGTCATTAATGCGCCTTATTGTGCTCTCGCTCTCTCTCTCTCTCTCTCTCTCGCTCTCTCTCTCCGATTTTGTTACTTTTTTGTCATTCTAAGCAACGGAAAATGACCCCAACGTCATTCCACGTCAATTCCCAACCCCCGCTTTCCAGTTGTTCATTTTGTGTATATTTCCGTGTCTGTGTCTCTGTCCGTCTCAGCCCATTGCGACGAGATGAAGCAGCCAGCCGGCCTAGCCATCCCCCGCTCTAGCCGCCCCCCCCCACAGGGGAAAAGCGGCGTACTCCGCAAATCGATCTGATCGCACCCAGCACACCCCGCTCGAACCTATTCGTTTTTGCCCGTTGTGCTTCGGAAAAACGGCGTCGCTTAGCGATGAAACATTAACTTCTGGCGCTCTCATTTCTTTGCCACCTTGCCACCTGTTGAATGACAATAAGTTTCTTGAAGTTTTACACCTGCAATTAAATTTTTCTCTACGGTCCACAGTCGCCCTAGCCCACTGTAACTTCCGCTATGTCTTAATGCCCAAAATTCCGTTTATTTCCTCTTTACACCCGATCATCGTCGCCAAAAATTGACCGGCCAGATCAACATCGGAGAGCACATCCTGTTGACGTCAGCCACCGGTCATTTTGTGCCGCCTATCCCCGAGATGCTGGGAGGTTGGATATGTTTTTCTCGGCAGTCCCGCTTTCCCGCTCTCTCCCTCTCTCTCTCTCTCTCTCTCTCTCTCTCTCTCTCTCTCTCTCTCTCTCTTATACTTTTCTCTTCTGCCATACACCCGAACACGCCCATTCCACCCCACGTGGGGGTCTGAACCCCCTCATATCTTTTCGCTTCAACCCCAAAAAGTGTTCGGTGCTCTTTCTCTCTCGCTCGCTCTCTCACAATCTCCCTCTCTCTCTCCTCAAGCTCCGCCCCATTGGGGACAACCCTCTTCTTTTCCTTCTGGGCCGGCTTCGCATTGCCACCCGGGACATCATCACCCGCTCTGAAAGGTGTCAGCTGATCCCAACCGTCGTTCCGTCCACCCCACCCCACGTGGGGGCATACCCTGGGTGCGGGAACTTTTTGGAGCTTGCGCGAAGATTTTGAGCCTGATATTTGGGATTTTAGTTCAGTCGGAAAAGTTTAGAACTTTTTGCTGTGGCTACGGTACCTTCTGGGCTACGGTTGCTGCTGTTGCTTCAGCTTTTTATTGCCATAAGCCTACGCGCAAGCATAGGCCTCATCCTAAGCCTAAGCCCAAGCCTTATCCTAAGCCTAAGCCTCGACGGAACCTTCTTGAAGGCATTGCCCACTTCCACTCCCGTAATCAGGAGACCCTAGCCTAAACTCCGACCCCACCTTCCTTCCAGGATGATTTCCCCGAAAGAGGATACTGTAGATCGCGTAGTTCAACATGCAAGAAATGTAGGCTGCTGACTACGGTATCCTACTATAAAATACAGTACCCATTCCACCTCAGTCCTATTTACAACCCTCCCAAACAAACAGAAAACCTTCTCGGCAATGCAATATTCACATCAGAGGACCTGAGTACGTGCATCTATTTTCACTTTTTTCGGCTTTTTGCATGTTGGTGTAGTGTGCATACTGTACTGGTATACTGTAGCCTACCGTAGTTTTGTATAGCCTACTATAGCCAACTGTAATTTGCAGCGTAGATCCTGTCTTATCAACATTGTAGTATCATTCGTGGCGGGGGATTTCCCGCACTTTAGAAAAAAGGGGAAAAGGGCAGTTTTTAAGGCGTATCCCCCCATCACATAGTGTAAGTTGGAAAGTAACGGAATCCGGCGAGTTCAGGGTCAAAATTTTCTGGGAATTTTTGTGGCTGCTTGCTTTCTCAACAAAGTGGAAGTCAAGGCTTAAGCCTAGGCCTAAGCCTAAGCCGGAGCTACCGAAGCCTAAATTACTAATATTTGCCGGTCCGCTATAATTCCTTTCCCAAATGATCACTGCTCTGCCCGCTTCATACAGACTTCGCTTCGTTTCCTTGGTGCTTCCTTTTTGGGGCTCAATTTCAGCTCAACCCTTCCCACTCAGCGTGATCTTCTGACGTCACAAGAGCGCTGTCCGACCACCCTCGTACCCGGGGGCTACGCACTTTGCCCCCCAGCACCAATTGTTGTGCCCTTTAAAGATCGCCAATCTCTCTCGCTCTCTCTCTCTCTCTCGCCTGATATTGTCTATTTGTCCCCCCCAGACCCCCTGGGTTGATTCTCAAAGATCGCTCGGATCTGCTAGGCTGGTGGAAGGGTCCGGCTAGACTGTCTGTCGCCTATATAAGGGTAGTCTAGGGTCATTTTGCATACCGTAATCGGGGTAGTGTCTCGTAGTCTTGTAGCAAGAGTCCTAGGCAAGACAACGATGGAGTTGATTTCCCGGCATAACCGATTCCTTTTGATATTTTTTGGAAAATTCCGTGCTGGCACCTTTTTCATTGCGTAATTGGTTTGGTAAAATTATAAATACCATTTAATTGCGTAATCGATTGCATCGAGCTTGTATAAATTTTCAGTCAGAATTTTTTTGTAACGTTTTCTAATCATATTAAAAGGTATCCGAAAGCGTAAAATCTCGTCTTTTGATTTTTATTTAAAGTTTTACTTAATTCTATCATATATTTGTCCCTATTTTTGCGTTTTTTTGACTATATGGTACCTTCGAAATCACAGTAAATAATAACTTTACGCTCCCACGATCATAGCCTTCGAGCGAACACCCCGCATCTCTCCCCCTTCACTCGCCCAATCATCCGGTCCCCTTGGCTCCAATTGTCGGAACAAAAGTGTTTTTCCTGTTTCTTCCCAGCCACCAATTTCCACCGTATCATCCGTTTCCCCGCGTCCAATCACTCCGACAATTTTCCTGGCCACCCTCCCCGCTGTTCAAAATGTCGAGTCTAAATTGTTTTCCTTGAAAACCTAAAAGTACATTTCCCTTTAATACCTTCATTTCCAGAGGAAAGCTGTGCTTCCACCACCCCTCCACTTCCAAGATGATGTTCGACCTTGATGAGGAGATTGACCCGTTGGAAACGCCGGTCAAGGCGCCGAACCCCTTCAGGTAGTGTTGATTTTCAAGCCGACTTACGCGGAGGCTTAGGCTTAGGCTTAGGCTTATGCTTAGGCTTGGGCTTAGGCTTATGCTTAGGCTTATGCTTAGGCTTGGGCTTAGGCTTATGCTTAGGCTTATGCTTAGGCTTGGGCTTAGGCTTATGCTTAGGCTTATGCTTAGGCTTGGGCTTAGGCTTAGGCTTTGGCTAAGGCTTAGGTTAGGCTTGAGCTTAGGCTTATGCTTAGGCTTAGGCTTAGGCATAGGCTTCTGAACTTTTTCATCCAAATTTTCCAGGTTCTCCCCCGACCTGATCGAGCGCCACGAGCGGTACCTGGCCTCGACCGACAACTTTGAGCACAATGAGTCGCCGACCACGTTTCAGGTTTGTATTTTAAAGTTTAGCAATTGGCAACTGTTTATGGGTTCCATTTTCGAATCGCAAAACAAATAAACCTCGATAGATCGAGCTCTAAATTTAGTTTTGAACATTTTGCGTTTCTTTCTCTCTCTCTTCCTTTTCTGGAGGTGATCTCATCAATTTCCGATCAATTTTTGCGTCCACCGAACCCGGGGGTTTCCCCGGCGCCTCGTTTCGAAACGGGGCCAACTGGTCAGGCCACCCCGGCTCGTCTCTCTCTCTCTCTTTTTCTTTCTCTCTCTCTCTCTCTCGCTCTCTCTCTTCTCTCTCTCTCCCGGGATCTATCGGTCGAAAAGTCTCCCCAGCGGTGGACACGGGGGGTTTCCCCGAACTTTTGATCTCAACCCGCTGTTATCTCAGAAAATTGCGGGGGGCTCCAAAATTCGGCGAAAGTTTTCATCGATCGCAGGATGGTGCAAAAAAAATATAATTCATAACTTTCAGAAATCCCTGGTCTTGAGCGCCACCTCAACGCTCGAGGTGCAGATCACCGACTCCGATGAGGACGAGTCGCCGAATGCTGAGGCTCAACGAAAGCTGTGCCTGTGCGCCTCCCTCAACCCAGAATTCGTAAGCGAGTGTGGCCCACGGGGCTCACAGCCGGTCTCTGCCTTCAGAGCCAAGAGGCCGGACAGCGACTGCGGAAGGGGTCGTACATCTCGTTCCCCTACCACACACATCAGATAACCGACGACTACAAGGTGTCCGCTGAGGTATGCAGATTTTAAGGCTAATGGGGAGAGCGAGAGATTGAGAACGGAGGGTGAGAGATTGGGAACGGAGGGTGAGAGATAGAGAGAGACAGATAGAAAAAAAGAGAGAGAGCGAGAGATAGAGAGAGAGAGGGTGGTTTGCCGGAAACGGGCCAGCAGAAATCCTCAGGAATAATACTTTTCCCGTCTTACTGTAGAAATTCAAAATCTACCATCGTATTCCATTACTATTAAAATCAACGTTTTCCAGATCATCGGCATCGGCGAGTCGGGCAAAGTGATGGCCTGCTACAACCTCGTCGACGGCACCAAGTACGCCCTGAAGGTCCTTCGCGACTCCCCGAAGGCGAGGCGCGAGGTGGAGCTGCACTATTTGACGTCGTACGTTTGCGCTTGTAGATATATCCTGTAAATTGGAGCATTTCGTAAGTTTTGATTTTCAGAAGCCACGAAAACGTCGTCACGATCCATGACATCTACGAGAACACGTTCGATGGGTTGAAATGTTTGCTGATCGTCATCGAGTTCTTGGAAGGAGGAGATTTGCTGTCACAATTCGAAGGCCAGGGGAGCAAGCCGTATTCGGAGAAGAGTGAGTTTTAGAAAAGCTTTTTTCTACTCTTCGCTTTCCCTCACTCTCACTCTCTCTCTCTCTCTCTCTCTCTCTCTCTCTCTCTCTCTCTCTCTCTTCTCTCTCTCTTTCTCTCTCTCTTTCTCTCTCTCTTTCTCTCTCTCTTTCTCTCTTTCTCTCTCACCATCTCTCTCCTAATAACCCAAAAAACATGTCCCCATTATCAAATTATCTACCGTTTTCCGCTCTTGTTTACCGAGTCCCTCAGCCTTCAGGCCAAATTTCCGGACTTTGCCCCCTAACGGCCTCGTGGGTTACACTGCTACAGGGTGCGGAGAAAGTTTTCGGCGGGGCAAATAACTCTGTTACTCGAAACCTAGAGGTTTATTCAGATTTTTTGGATTCGAGGCTGGAAAGTGAAGACTCATGGATCATAAGTCACGACTGGATTACCCAAATTCAAAGATTTTACCCGATTAGAACGACCGAAAAGATCATCTTAGAAACGCCCCCGGCACGCTGTTGTTTCGTTGATGTTACAGTACCCCCTGCGAGCTATCCTTGGTCAAAAGGCACAAAATTTTGTAGAGATGTTGCCAAACCTGTGGTCTATCTTCCCACAAAACCTCAAGAAATTTTGCTTCAATTCGAAAGAGTTATGACGCTTCTAATTTTGGTGAATTTTTGGTCGAGACGGGAAATCTCCTGCCAGTAATCACAAAATCCGAAGAGAACGGCCTTGCTAATGGGATTTAGCGTACTGATATTCTTAACCGACACCCCTTAAATTAAAAAAGAAAAACGATGCTTGATACCAACGCTGGAAACAGCTTTTAGACGGTGCTGAACATTCTAAAGCCTTGGCACGCTCCGCCTTGCAGCCAAAACCCCTGAGAATTCAGCCATGTCTGTTGACAAAGCAATAATATTGATATGGAATAATGCTAAGGGGTTGTTCTTTATAATCCGTAAACTCGGAAGCCTGGTAGTCTGCCACGGAAAATTTTAACCGCGCTTTCTATATCGGCCAAATGGTGGCCAATTTCGAAACTCGCCTGCGCATCGGTGTTCCGAGCTCGGTTATTTTAGCTGAGCACTTATTAAAAAATCTTTGGCTCATGAAATTGGATGAGAATTGTCCCAATCTATCATGACACCACAAAAAATGTAGTCGAAACGCTCATCTTGACAAATCTTTTTGATAAAAGGTGCGCCGCCGAAAACTTTTTCCGCACCCTGTATTAGGGACGCCACGGAGTTGCCAAGTCCCAGCCAGAAAAAAAGAACGTCTGGGATGGGGGCACCAAGAAGATAAGCCCATTGTTCCAAGACTTTAGAGCCGGTGGCTGAACTCGGAAGGTTGATAAAGAGGGTAAACGAGGAACCTGAACGCTAAAAATAGCTCGGAAAATCCGAGAGAGAGAGAGCAAGAGAGGAGAGAGAGAGAGAGAGAGAGAGAGAGAGAGAAAAGAGAGAGACGGAAACTTTGAACTCCCAGGTTTTGATGTTGTTGGGGACAAAGTCCAAAATCTCGGGACTAGCAATAAGAGTCAGAGGGGGGAAGCCTGATAAATATGAGACACCTGTCCCCGTGGCTGGAGCCGCGTAAATAATATTACGAGATGTGGCAGCTTTGACCGCTCAAACTAAGAAAAATGGCTTGTTGAGCTCAAGCTCAGCCTTGGATTTGAAGCAGCAAAAGCTTGGGCTCAGAATCAGATAAAATTGAAGGAGAACGAGAAAAAGAAAGAGAAACAGGAACAGAAATAATTCTAAAAATTGTTCCAGAAATCGCCGAAATCCTCCGTCAAATCGGCAGCGCCGTCCAGTTCCTCCACGACATGAACATTGCGCACCGGGACATTAAGCTGGAGAACATTTTGTGCAGGTTGGCCAGCATTTTTTATAGACTAACAAGTGATTGTAAATTAGTTACGCATAAAATTTAAATCAAACTAAATTTCTGTATGAATCACGCCACTTAATTCCGTTTTTTTTCAGCTCAACCGGCCCGGATTGCGTCTACAAACTCGGTGACTACGGGTTCGCCAAGCGGCCGGAACGTAATGTCCTGATGGAGTCGCCGTGCTGTACGCCGTATTATGCGTAGGTTCCTTTACTTTATTAAGATTATACCTAGCATACGTTTCTAAAGAACGTAATCATTACAATCATTTAACAAAACTTAAAAAACTGTTAAACAACGTTTTTTTCAGTCCTCCCGAAGTGCTCGGACGGGAGCGGTACGACAAGTCGTGCGACATGTGGTCTCTTGGTGTTGCTATGTACATATTGTAGGTTAATTCAAACCTTAAATTTGGTATTAGGTTTTAGGTATTGAAGTTCATTATTGACACATTTAAGTAATAGATAAATTAAATTAAAATAATAGATTTAAATGCCCGTTTCCAGGCTCTGCGGGTACCCTCCATTCTATTCCATGGCCGGACTGGCGTTGTCGCCCGGAATGAGGTCCCGAATTGCCAAGGGCTACTACGCATTCCCGCATGAAGAATGGGACCCGGTTTCGGAATCGAGTAAGCTAGGAGAGAGAGAGAGAGAGAGAGAGAGAGCACAAGCTTGCGAGAGAAAGAGGTCTATTAAAAAGAATACCATTTTTCCAGCCAAATCCATCATCCGAACGCTCCTCAAGACGAATCCCGCCGAACGTCTCACCATCCACCAGCTGATGAGGAGCACGCTGGTGAGCGGCGACACCGAGCGGGCCACCCCGATACCGATTCGAGGCTCTGAGGTTTGTAGATCTCTCTACCGCTCTCTCTCTCTCTCTCTCTCTCTCTCTCTCTCTCTCTTCATTAATCCAACCTCTTTGCAGGACGAGGGCTCCTCCAGCGACTCGTACCATGAAGAGGAAGACTTTGACGTCACCTCAAACATCCCCGACATGCCGCGCTCGGTCCGATTCCTGCGCGACGGCGTCAAGGCGCCGCGACTTCACAGTATCCAGGTAAGAAGGCTAAGCTTAAGCCCATCTAGGCCTTCTGACCTCTAAACACCGATCTTTCCAGGAAGAAGTCGGGCGAGCCCTGGATGCGATGCGCCTCGGTGGCGACCTCGTCTACGTGAAGCCCCCAAAGCTCCAGTGCACCTCCCTGCTGGCCAGGAGGCGCAGTAACCAATCTATTCCACAAGTCAGTTTTGGCTTAGGGGACTTTTAAACTTGGGATTTAAGCCGGAATTCATGTCTAAGTCGAGCTAGCTCAAAGTAAACTCTGTAAGCGTAGACGTAGCCTGCGACAACTATTACGACTTTATTTTTGGGCTGGCTAAATACTTTAAAAGCTAATTATCGGCTAAAATTCGTTAAATCAAAAACAAAAATAAAAACAACCGATTTACATCCGTCACTTTTCAGGTGCAACTCAACTACTGAAGCATACAACTCTACGGTTCATCCCCCCTAACTCAGCGATTACGAGGAGACATTTCTGCCCCTTTTTCGAGTGCCAACCTTCTAGTTCATTGATTGTCATGGTCAAATTACCGTCCGATACTGTAATGTGATTTTTGCAGCTTCTGATATCCCTGCCCTTCTGGTGTCCATACCGGTTTTCTCAGCCGATTTTTTTTGTAAAGCATCCGCATGCGCTTTAGTCGACATTCCCCCAGGCTTTGGGTGTATTTGTTTTGGATTTTTCGAGCAAAAAAATGGATAAAATATTATTATAATAAAAAAACGGCTTTCCTTTTTTGGGAAAAGAGGTGTTTTTATTATGGATTTAAATTTAAATGAACAGACAATCTTACAGCACACATGAAAACGATATTTGCATCCTTACACATAAAAACCCGCTTGTAATGGGAAATCTACAGCCATCTTTGCCCCAAATGAACCTTTGAAAATGAGCAAGACGTGTTTAGTTGATCGTCCTAATTTTTTTTTATTTCACTGGAATTGCTCTCTCTCTCTCTCTCTCTCTCTCTCTCTCTCTCTCTCTCTCTTTTGCTCTATCTCGCGAGCTCTTACTCTCTCTTGCTATCGCGCGCTCCCTCGTTCTCGCTCTCACTCTCACTCGTTCTCTATCTCGCTCTCTTCCTCGTTCTCTTTCTCTCTCTCTCTCACTCCCTTTCTCTCTCTATATCCTCCTATTTTACTCGCCAAACCCTTTCGAGGCTTGACCACCAAATCAAAACATCAAAACCCTAGAAAGAATCAAAAACTCACAAGAATTGAACGCAAAACTCCAAAGAAGCAAGACCCAATGCACTGTATCACAACGGAATTACACAATTTTTATATGTTTCCTGCCTTTTTTGCCATTGCCATTCCCGTCCACCACTAATCGAATCAAGCCGCTTTATCCCAATTGCCTCGCCCGGCGCCTCGACCTAAGAAAAAACCGCGAATTTTAGGTCCGGGACGAAGATTGGGGCAAGCGATAGGGGGCAGATCATGTAGCGAACTGAAATCAAGGACTTGCGCACGTAGGGAAGAGGGTGACCGGATCTCGGGCTCGATATGGCAAACCACTGGCACGAGCCGGGTTAGAGGAGAGTTTGAAGATCATTAAGTTGATTTGGTTATGCTTTGCTCTAGCTAGCTAAGCTTAGGTTTAGACTTAGGCTTAGGCTTAGGATTAAGCTTAGGCTTAGTCTTAGGATTAAGCTTAGGCGTAGGCTTAGGCTCAAGTTTAGGCTTAGCTTAGTTTCCGTCGATGCCCGCTAGTAAATTAGATTAGCTTTTTTTCACTAAAACGATTAACCCAGGTCCAAACCAGGAAGCCTAGTAGCCTTACTCGGTCTTGGCAAAAAAAATCATCCGGTATCTTGCCAGGTTGCTCGGCCTGCAACACAAATTTGCAACCTTTTTTGCCTTTGAAAGCCAGGCGACGATGCTAATTACTAATTTCTACAATACCAAAAAGTCCGCGATACTACTATCTGTCGTCTTTCTCCGACTCTCTCTTTATCAATCTCTCTCTGTCTCTTCTCCCTCTATATCTCTCCCTCCCTCACTTCCTCTCTCTCTCTCTCTCTCTCTCTCTGTCTCGTTTCGCCTCCGATTTTCAACATGCTACGCTTTTTTCCTAATCGAGATCATAGCAGCCCCCCCCCCAAGGCAACCCTACCCGGCGATGAAGATCCGGTGTACTGAAATTGGCAGTGACGCCTAGTCGGGCGGACCTTAGCAGCTCTCGAACGGCAGAAAACATTCAGCCACCGTGCTGCCATTCCTGGAAATGGCCTGCCCGATTGAGCGCCACTCTTTTTCGGCATTGCTTTTGATTTTCCCTCACGACCTACTGTTTATCTCTTCTCTCCTATTTTGCAAAGATTATTCCTAAACTATCGTTTTTAGATGCTACTCCTACTCCTCCTACCGTTGCTCGACTTTTGTGCGGCCAGCTCGAAAATGTATTTTTTGCGTCCTTTGCAGTAGGAAAATTTTGATTTAAATGCAACAGGATGTCAAGAAAACGCGATGTTAACGACTTTTAGAGTGACACCTGATCTTAGCCACTTTTCGTACTACACGCCGGTCAACCGAAATTTAATGGCACACCTGGTAAATTTAAAAATCAATAGCTTTACAGCCTCGTTTTCTAGGAAGATCCAGCCTTCTTCAGCCAGTTCGATCAGGTGAAGGCGTTCAGGGATTTTGACCCAGTGGTAGGTTGCATTCTTTAATTGCTAAAAGGGGCAAGAGAGAGAGAGAGAGAGAGAGAGAGAGATAGTTAAGGAGAGAGCGCGCGAGGGAGTGTGAAGAGGGAGATTCTGACTTTCTAGACCCAGCACGACAATCCCTTACTTTAGGCTATCCACAAGATCTCACCTCTACGCAAGAAGCGCGATGTCAGCTTGGATGAGATTGAGAAGATGTAAGACTAAAGCTCATGGTTCCCGGAAGACAAGTTTTTCAAGCTCGTAGTAGTTCATTTTCAAGCGCAAACCGAATTTCCAGGCTACACGATCAAAAAATTTCGCCCGATTCCGCAAAGCACCTGGCTGCGATGATGCGCCGAGATGAGCCGCTACCTAGCAGTGAGGGAGAGTGAGTTATCTTGATAGCGAGAGAGAGAGAGAGACAGAGAGATAACGAATGGTTCTCTAGTGACTCCAGCGACGATGAACTGCTCCGCCTCCTCGCCGAGTATTCCGAGATGCGGAAACGCCTGCAGGACATTGAGAGGAACATTGACTTGACGCAAAAGTTGGCCGAGGCAAGTAAAACTATACGGTAGTTAGTCAAGTTCTAGGCCGCCAAGGACCGTCTACCGGAAACGCGCACGGCGAGCACGCCAAGCTGGGGAAGCAAGACCACCGCCCAGCCCGAGGAAGAGCTGGCACTGCTTTTGGAGGGAAAGGTGGGCTTAAGAAGGACTTAGGCTTACCTTGGGCTTAGGCTTGCTATCTCGTAATTTTAGTTCTCGATATTTTTGGATCATAAAGTACCAAATACGCCTAATTCCAGTCAATCCCATCCCCACCAACTGATAGCCAACTTTTGGATGCAATGAACCCGGCATCAGGCTCCGACGTTGGCGATCTGGTGCCGATGAGCTCACCCAGCACTGACGTGAGTTTTCGCTGCCCCTGAAGTCCTTCGTCCATTCTTTTTAACCGGGCTTTTCGCATCATTCGGCGTAATTTTTGACTACTAATCCAGAAAATCTGCTTTGCAAGGCAATGGCAATTCTTTAATAGTGTTTTTTTTTTGGAAAATTAAACCATTTGTCAAGTAGAAGACCATCTAAAAACGTTACAAAGCTGAAAAATTATTTTGTACTTGTTAACAAAAATTGCGTGTTGATTATGTTCATTTTTAAGCTTATGCGTTTAAGAAGCGCCAGAAACCGAGCAGAAACTCGTACTTAGCTTATTTTCACTTAAACGTTCTTGTTCAAAAAAAATCGGGCACTAAAGAAAAAAATTGGCATCGCTCCTGATACCCCCCATAATGCAAAAGCACCATCTTAATCTCTGAATTTTTGCTTTTTCAAGGCGACCACGGATCAGCCTGTCGAAGCGACAACGCCCCTTCTGGAGACGGTAACCTTTGAGCCAGCCAAAAAGGCCCCCGAGGTCGTCTGGACCTTTAACCCGGATGGCAAACCGATTGTGGGTTTTGTGGCGTGGAGTTTTCATTACTTTCTTCTTTTGATATTTTCTATTAACAGCAAATACAATTAAAGGGGTTGGGATGCCAAAACTGGCCGTCGACTAACCTTTCTGATTTTCCAACCCATTTAAAACCAGTTTAAACTCGGGAATTTAATTAAACGTGCTAAAATCTTGAAAAAGTTTCCTTGGTGCAATTTTTATTGGATTCCCAGCCCCTTTAAAAGCGAAAAGGGAAAGATATAAAGGTAATGGAAGGTGAAACTTGGTCATTAAAGCGTGAAGCATAAGGCAAGCTAGCAGAATACCTTGGATTCCCTAACTTGCCTGAATCTATAAACCCAGAAATAATGTTTCCACGGTTTGACAATGCTAACCCGGTTTTTTGGTAGATGGTTGGGTTCCGTGGAGGGGATGCTGTGACTACTACGACTACCACCACCCAACGCCCGACTACGCGGCGCACCCGCGGACACCGCAATCGCCCGGAGCCGGTGCCGACCATCCAAGACTACATCCCGATCGTCATGGGACCCAAGGGACCTATCGTGCTACCGCATTATAATGTCGAGACCTCGACGAACGGCCTGGTCAACACCGAGCCCATCGATTTTGAAAGTGAGGCTTGGAAGAAGGAGCTGGATGAGCGAGTGAGGAGGAGGATGAAGTGGGTTTTTAAAGGGAGAGTGTCAGAGAAGATCATTTCGATCGATTCATCTGACGAGTTGCTTGAATTTTAGCGAAATCTACGGCTCCAAGAGCACCACCGAGAAACCAGCCCAGAAGAAGGAGGACGAGCTGGAGTATTATGAGGAGGAAGAGGAAGCGACGACAACTGAGGCTCCAAAGAAGAAGAATACGGTGAGAGAGACTGAGAGCGAGAGAGAGAGAGAGAGAGAGAGAGAGAGAGAGAGCAAGATCGAGAGAGTGAGAGGGATACAGACAGAAGGTGCGGCTGCTAGAACGCCAGATGGACGTAGAAACGGAATTTTCAGAAACATCACAAGCCGGCTGAGATCTCGAGCCCGAAGAAAGTGTACGAATACGTCAGTGTCAATGGAGGTAGAATAACTTTTCAAAAGCCCCGCAAAATATTTGTCATAATACTTAATATGAATTAAATAGGAATATTGAGAAAAACCACTCTATTTTAGCCCCTCCCGTCCTCCGATCCATCCATTCGCCCGGATTCCAGACGCCGCAATACAGCCCCCTTGTCTTCTCTGGGCCTCAAACGTGGGTTTAAACAATGATTTAACCATCATAGATCTTTCCATTATATTTTCCACTATTTTTAGGCGCTACCCAATGCTGTCCCAGCTACCGTACGACCGCTACGCCGCCCCGATCCGGCCCCAAGGGATCCCGGCATTCTACTACCCCATGAAGAAGAAGGCCTAAATATCGATTTTCTTGGGTTTTGAAACACTAATAATTTGAGCTACCTGCAATTGTGTCACGGGTGATAAATGTATTAATTGACGAAAGTTTACGAAATTACAAAAAACGAAAGTCCTCTCAAAGTTTCGTAAAAGAGAGAGAGAGAGAGAGAGAGAGAGAGAGAGAATGAGGGCGAGAGTGAGATAGAGAGAGAGCGAGACAGAGAGAGAGCGAGAGAGAGATACAGACGGAGTGTCATTCGAATCCTAAATAAATTTGCATAAAATTTGCCCCGGAACCGCTTGAAATCCTGCCTATCAACTTGCAATCCTCATTTTTTTTACTCGTTCACCCTCCACCCAGTCGCCGCGAGGTGAGTCGACACATCAAGTTCAAGCCGTCCGCCCCCTTCCAGATGGGCGCCGATGATCTGGACGTGAAGGGTATCGTGACGCGTATGCTGCAGGTCGGCACGCCCGACAAGGGGATGACGAAGACGATCAAGGAGGAGGAGCTCATCAATTTGTGCAGTGCGTTTAGAAGCAGCTAGGCCGTTTGGCGTGTTTTGTCGCCTTGGTTAGGACGCCGAGACCTAGTTAGCGTAAGCGGTTGATGCTCGGGGCTTCACTGGCCCTTTAAAACCGTGATTTCAGCGCACACGAAAGATCTGTTCATGTCCCAATCCCCGTTCGTCGAGATCGACCCTCCGGTCCGGATTTGCGGCGATACCCACGGACAGTACGGCGATTTGCTCAGAATTTTTAACAAGGTGGGACAGGGTAAGATAGAGAGATAGAGAGAGAGAGAGAGAGAGAGAGAGAGAGAGAGAGAGAGGAGATGACCAACGTATTCAGGGCGGCTTCCCGCCGACGTCGAATTACTTGTTCCTGGGTGATTACGTCGATCGGGGCAAGCAGAACCTGGAGGTGATCACGCTGCTGTTCTCCTACAAGGTATAATTGATTACGATACGATGACGGGGAGGACGACATTAGGCATCTAAAAAGATAGCTCAGAACAACAGTTTCGATTACTCTAGAAGAGCAGAAATGAACATCATCTAATTTTTAGATCCTCTACCCGAAAAACTTCTTCCTGCTGCGCGGCAACCACGAGACGGCCACCGTCAACCGGGTCTACGGCTTCTTCGAGGAGTGCCAACGGCGCTACAACTCCACCAAGCTCTGGCAGGCCTACCAGGTACACAAAATGACGATCCGGCAACTAACTACAAACGACATCTTAGGACGCGTTCGACTGCATGCCCCTCTCTGGACTTGTCGGTGACGCCATCCTGTGTATGCATGGCGGCCTGTCGCCGATGCTCACCAACCTCGACCAGTTGCGCAAGATCAAACGGTACAGGAAAAGTTGAGCTATAGATGCCTACTTTTAGACCCACCAACGCCGGCCAACCCTCAATCGAGCTCGACCTCCTGTGGGCCGACCCGGCGCTCGGGCTCTCCGGTTTCCAGCCGAACATGCGCGGCACGTCCGTCTGGTTCGGCGCCGACGTCGTCAAGGAGAAGTGCAAGGAGCTGGGCGTGGATTTGGTAGAAGCCGGAATGAATTTGGAGACATGAGCATCTCCAGATCGCACGTGCCCACCAAGTCGTGCAGGATGGGTACGAGTTTTTCGCCGACCGGAAGCTGGTGACCGTCTTCTCGGCACCGCACTATTGTGGACAGTTCGACAACGCGGCCGCTGTGATGATGGTCAAGGAGGGATTGGAGGTGAGAGAAAGAGAGCGAGAGAGAGAGAGAGAGAGGGAGAGAGGGAGAGAGCGAGAGATATACGATTTCTTTCCAGTGCTCTTTCGAAGTGTTCCGCCCGACAATCGGCAAAGCAGCCCCCAAGATCATCCCGACGACAATCCCGGAAGAGCACTAATAGACGCACGCCCTCATCGCTTGTATTTTATATCTTCTCCCGCTTATAGCCCCCCGAAAGACTCGCCATTGTGATACTGTTGAAAAATAAATCCAAAACACTCTTTCGTTGCCCCAGCAAGGTTTCGTGTTGAATAAAGATGATGTTAAACTTGGCTTGAAGCAGAAAAACAGTCCAGAAAACTGGAAATTTCTCTCCCTCCTCTCTCTATCTCTCCCACAAATCCCCTTGTCCCAGCCCCTTTAAAGAATACTTTGAAAATGCCACCAAAATATGCCCAATCCTTTATACAATGACACGCACGTACGGCGATCAGTAACGTACAAAAACACAACAACGCAGCAAAGCGGAAAATCACAGGCGCGTAACCGATAAAAATCCCCAAGTATGGTTCGGATGATAAAGCTACGATATACAACAAAAGACGCAGTAAGGCGGACTACCGAGTACAAAAAGCCCCGAAAACAAAAACAAAAAATACGCATATTTGTAGGGTGGGAAGACTTTGGCTAGGTATAAAATGAAGATGTGTGATAGAAATGTTTTTAAAAGGACAATAACAGCTGGGGAATGTTGAAAATATGCTAACTTCGAACGAAGCGGTGCGTAGCCTACTGTATGTTCCGCGTGTCACTGTCCCTTTAAATTAACAACCCGCGATATTCTGGAATATATAAAGAGCAATTAAAGAAAGAAATGGAGGAGCTTATTAAACGATACCGATTATGATTATTATAATGGAAATTACACGTATATAACCAAAAAAAAACAAGTAGAGAAAATCACAATACTTTCTCGTCCGAGGAAAGGCGATGGCGTAATTTAATGAAATGCGTGGATTACGGTAGGTAATTAAATATAGGGTCATTTTCGATTCTTCTTTTTCTTCTTTGGCTTCTGAATTAAACCTTTTTGTGGGCTCGAATAATGAACAAACCTCAAAACCATCGTCGGTGAGGAACCAGTTCGGCTTGGCGGCCGGGTCGGTGGGGGCGGTGGCCTGAATATGCAAATTAGTTTGCAACACCAGTAAAACCCCAATTTCGGTTTTCAAAGACTCCCCCAAAGAACCTCCGCTAGCCCGCCTGATGTTTAAGCAATTGAGCCGCCAACCCCTCCAGACCTCACCTCAACCCCTTGAACTTCCGGTTCATCTTCAGGCCGATCCGCGACTCGATCTTCAAAGCCGGGAGGTGGGGGCAGAGCAGAAACCTCGACGGCGGCCACAGTAGTCACTTTCACCAGCTGTTCTGGGAGATCACTATCAACAGAAGTTGGGGCCCCGGTGACCGTCTCCACCTTCTTGCTCACCACCACTTGGCCGCGTTGCCATACCTAAAACGTGGGGAATAATTCCGTGGACACCAAATTGCACCGACGTTCCACATCAGACACCATCAATTTTAGTTGTACTTTAAACGTTAAGTTCCATGCCAGAATTTAACAACTCAGTTAAGCGATACAACCACAACCAGTAGTACAACAAGTAGAAACCCCAAAAAACCGAACAACACTGATCCAAACCCAAATGCATCCAAAAATGTCACTACCTGGCCGGGGTCGGACTAAAAACGAGTATTGACAGTAAAATTAAAATATGGTAAATAGTAGAAATGTCGACACCCGAAAAATGTCGACAAGCGCCGAAATTCTGTTTATCGCTGTCGATATTTTTGCCTATCGACATTTTGATTTGTCATCATTTTGAAGGTTTCGTTAATTGAGAAGTAGGAGAGCCCTTTAGTTAATTGCTAAAAACGTTCTAACGGCAAGATGACCGATTTAAAAAAGTTACCTCAGCCGTCTCGCGGACCTCCTTCTCCTTCCGTCGTTCCTCCTCAACTCGTGCCACTTCGGGGGCCATTCGCTCACGGATTTGATCGGAATAATAACTAAAAAACAGCGTAAAATATAAACATAGGCCGAACCTCTTGAAGACCGGCTCGCCGGCGCACCAATTCAGGGCTTCGTAGGCGTGGAGGAGGAGCTGGAAAGTTGGAAAAATTGCAAAAAGCAAGGTTAAGTCTTACCAATGGGTATCGGGAAATGAAGTACCGGACGAAATCTTCGGGGATGTGGCCGAGGGAGTCACGGACCTGGAATCGGGCGTTTTAAAGGGAGCGTGACAGCCTATATTAGAAACTACGGGATTTAAAGAAGCGAGACATCACAAAGACCTTGAGAGGGAACGTAAAAGCAACAAATTTAGCGTTTAAGCAATAATTTTAAAGGTAGTCAACCAGAAAGCTTGGATTTTGAGGGAGCGCGACAACGCTACAGTACCTCTTTAGGCAGCTCCCGGTAGTGGTGCTTCTTGTTTCGCATGGCTCGCAGCAGATCCCGAACCGAGTGCCCCTTGTAGGTGCGGAATTTGCGGAGATCTAAACAGTAGGCATAAATTAAGGTAACAAACCAAGAAGCGTACCTTCCGTTAAAGCCGGGCAAATATGGTTTCGCCAGTTGCCGCCAACCACCGCTTTTGCGTTCGACTCGAGCCGTTGGACAACTGGGGCCTGGTCTTCCTCCTTTTCCACCCGATCCGAGACGTCCTGAAGCGGAAGTGGTAGTAATAAACAAGAAGGGAAGAAAAGCTTAGAATTTTGGCGATAATCCCGACATTTAAAATGCTGACACTATATAAGCTCTCGAAGGACAAAATATCGAAATTTTTGGTGGTTATTTTCCCTCGAGGTCTTGGCTGTCGGTATCTGCAAGTAGTCAGCTCACCCCAAAGAACTGCAGCTTCCGGTCGGCATTCCAGAACATGGGATGGACAAGCACCGTCTGGGCGGATGGCCGCTCGGCCGGGTCGTGCCGGATCATCTCCCGGATCAGGGCCATCGACTCGTTATGGTCTAAAAATTAGAACTTGACGCTAAAATTATCAAATTCTTACTCCGATCCGCCTCCATCCCGGCGAGGCTTGGCTTGCCGTGCATGATGTTCAACTGCCGCTGGAATGGGTCGCCAAACACGTGCTTGCCGTCGGTGAGGACGTAGTAGAAGATGCAGCCGAGGGAGAAGACGTCGACCGGGTATGACTGGAAATCGAGGTGGGTTAAATACCGCTCTGCGAGGTCAGTTTGCATCTCTCATTCCGATTATGTCTGCCTGTCTGCCTGTTTGTCTTTCTCTCTCTCTCTCTCTCTCTCTCTCTCTCTCTCTCCAGTACACCGTACGCACCGTGCTCTGCTCGAACAACGCTTCCGGAGCGATCCACCCGTCCGTCCCAGCCATGCCACTCCGTTGCGACAAACTGTTCCGACCCGGCCGAACCCGCTTGCAAAGTCCAAAGTCGGAGATCAGGGCCCGGACCTGTCCCTTGGTGTTGGCCATCGATATCAAGACGTTCTGCGGCTTCATATCACGATGAACTAAAAACCTAATCAGAAAATTCGATGATTGCATACCGATATTAATCGAATGCAGATGAGACAGCCCGTCACTGGCTTGTCGTAGAAGTTCCTTGGCTGGGACGTCGATCTGAAGTAACCCAGAAAATCCTCAAAGACCTCCGCAAGCACCCACCATCTTCCGAACCTCCTTTTTCTCGACGTATTCATGAAGAGAAGCCGTGCACAGCTCGAGGGCGAGATATCGGAACTGGCTGTCGGATTCCTGAAAAGATACGTTACGTTAAGAGCGAAATAATGACGAGGTACCATGCAAAAGTAGCGGATGACGTGTGGGTGGGTGTCGCTGGCACGGAGGTGGTCAACTTCGCGCTCGACCAGGCGGAGGAATTCGGAAACTACTCGTTTGACGGCAACCTCGCGACCGTCGAATTTTCCCCTAGAATGAGATCCGGCGTGAGAAAGCGAGAGAGCGAGAGAGGAAGAGTGAGAGCGAGAGAAAGAGAGAGAAAGAGAAACTCACTTGTAAACTACAGTGCCCTCACAGCCTCGCCCTAACACTTGCTGAGGGTCGTAGTGCACCTTTCCGACAGCAAACCACCCGTCCGGGACCTCGTCGACTAAAATTATTCCAGTTTAAAGGAACCTTGAAGCAACAAACTTTTTGTGTACATCCAGCCACGGCCCCCACTCGAGTGCCGAGACGTCTGGACACTTCGGCCTTCGTTGATTTGCTGCGAGACGGCGGACTGGAAGAAATCGATTTATCTCTCTATCTCTCGCTCTCTCTCGCGCTCTCTCTCTCTCAACAAATCCCTTACATGTCTCCCGCACATCCACACCGTCGTGATCAGCAACACAATCATGCTGACGATGGCGGCGTAGAAATGACGTGGGTACCGCTCGTAGATGTGGTAGATCATCGCGGCCAGGCTCTCATCATCTTCGTCGCCCGACAGCCGATTCGAGTTTGTCGGCTAAATTGATTTTGTAATAGCTACGATATAGCACTGACCTTCTTGTCACAGCCGATCATCTTGGGCTCGTTCTTCTTGCGCTGGTAGTCGATTGACGGCATCTGGGGCATCGACGGGAATCTGGTTTGGTAGAGGCCCAGCGAGAGATCGGTCGTTGGGGGCTCGTGGTAACCTAAAAAAGGAGAACTTAAATGATTATCTAAACATCTACACGGTTTCTTGGAGAAATAACCTTTTCCGGGTTTGTTTAGTGATTTCAACGTTTCTGAAGGGCGCAACTAGCACGTTGGTAACAAGTACAGCCCATATAAACCTATTTCCCCTAGTTATGACATCAACGTTAGTCTTCAGAAACGAACATGATCAAGTTTTGCGGCGGGTGCAGGCCAAGACGTTGTGTCAGAATTCACAATGGTCAACCGCCGAGTCGAGCATGTTCAGCTACCCAAGAACACGATTTTATACAAGATTCACGACAAGTTCAAGCCCGACTCGGGTAGGCCGGTATCATCAACCCGTGCCCCGACAGGTTCAACAAGTTCAGCCACGTATGATTCTTATGATCTACAACAATTTGGTCAAGTCCAAGCCTCGCTCGAGTCCGACGAGTCCCTGCAGTTCAATATTTTAGCCTTTTGCAATCCGAGCCCGTTTCCAATTTCGCCAGACAAGTCCGACGCACAGGTGGACGGGCCGTCGTGGGCTACAAGCCCCCGGCCGTCTTGTTAGTGCTGGTATGACGTTCTCGTCCACTTTTTAGACGGGCCGTTCGTCCTGGTTGACGGGAAGGGCCAATGTCTAGGGCCCCGCTGTTGACATGTACGCCCTCACAGGTAGCTGTTGTGTTTTTGCTAGCTTGCCGAGGGGCTGGGATGATGGATTGCTGATAATGATAGGAAACATAAATATCTTGGGATTGAGCTGGGTAGTTTTATGGGGTGGATGGTTCCGCAACGTGGAACCCCGGTAAAGAGTTCGAGCGGGCTTTTGAAGGGTTGGTTTATACGTTGCTCGATTGGCTATTTGTCAATTATTAAACAGGTCTGATCGATCCGGCCCATCCAATACCTTTAAAGGGATGGGCAAGGCGGGGCTGTGGATTTTGTAGGTCATGCATAACGTATAAATTTAGTGTGGTCGCTACACGCCCCGACGCCCGCTTTGGTTGACGTCAGCGCATGTATTTGTGCGAACTCACCCTTTAAAGAGAGTCATTGAGGAGTACGGCAAACCTGCGTCGATCGTGACGCTTCGCGTGTCATCGATCTCTCCCAGAGCATGATCTCTTGGACAAGAGGAGACACGCAACACGCCCACGACGCGTTCACTCCGCCACGTTCGTGAGGAAGCTCTGATAGATCTGGAAGCCAAGCGATCGCCAGAATTTTCTGGGTTTTTGAGTTTCGTCCTCGACGTCACGCGGTTCCTTTCTTGACTTGAAGCCGTCTTGGATTGACAGCTAGCGCCAAGCTGTCTAAGCGGCCCAAGTCCAAGCCGAATTGCAGGCCCAAAACCGCTTCACCAACTTCCCGATTCCCTGAAACCCATAAATCCCCCGCCCATGTAATGTAAAGCCGGGTGGCGCTGTTTACCATCCGGAATTCCCTCCCCCCCGTCCAACCTCTGTCGATCAGAGAGCCAAATCACAATCATCCATTTCTCACCCCGGACTTGTTGGCTTTTCAGTTAGGGCCCCTAACCCAAGGCGGGAAAGAGGGGAGTGCAACTTTTCTCCGGCACCTTACGACGAGTCGAGGGAGGGCCAGGGGGGACGGAAAGCGGAAAAGGAGGAGTGGTGTGTATGTGTGTGAGTGGGACTCTTAGAGCCAGAGAGGGAGAAACTGGGCCCTAAGGATCAATGCCTGTCCGGGTCGCGGGTTGGGGTGGTATGAGCCCCGGCGGGTGATAGCCATCGATTTGAGGTCGACGCCCAGGGACACCCCCCGGCCGATGGCCAAGTATATTTAGCCGCTTGGCTTTAGGGTTTTGTCTTGGCTGAGGTTATGATCGGAAAATTCCTTTTTACAGCCCTGCTCTTTGCAGCAGGGCTTTGGAAAGATCGTGTTTCCGGCAGGACTTCCCGGCTGCGCTTCGCTTTGGTGTTTGACCTGGCTAACTGGGTTCCGGGACCAAACTGTCCTAGCTGACCCTGTGGAGGTCCTTGTGGCCTTCTTTCGGAGCGATGTTTCTAGACCATTTTTTCCTATTTTACCTGCCGAAAGTTTTGTCTAAAAACCAGTTCTGCTAATTTCGATTCTGTTCGAGAACTCTCTCTCTCTTTACGAAAAGATCTTGAGCGTGAGCTCGTCGGCCGAGCACCTCCGGCGTTCACTTTTTGCACTAACTTTGCAATAACTAATTTTTAACTTTGAAACCAGATTTTAAATACCTCAAAGATTAGTTATTACTTAGGTTCAATAGTATTCTGTAGGTTACTAAACCGAACTATTGTGGATAACATAGGTAAGGCCGGGGGGCGATATTTTCCTTGGCAAAGTTAATGAAGCTTTTAGCAGATTTTTTCGTTCCGGCAAATTTTCCAGTCCTTCTTCATGTTCCTTTTTCACCTTGAAGGACTTTTTCGATTCCTGGATGACTTGAGAAATCGTAAAAATTCGGGCCTTTCATCGCTCGGAATTTTCCTAGGCCAAGCGGTTTCCGCGGGAGTTTAAAGATAGGTACCATTAATGCCCTGCGCCTACTGATAACGATAAATTTCCCCCGAGTATTTTGATCTTCAATCCCGATTCCGCCACGACCATGTTGTGGTCAAGCGGCCGGCGAGTGTGGCCCGCCAAGCAATTGGGGGATGAGTGAGTGTCGGTGTGTATTGGCTGGGCCACACTATCCCGAACACATGTTGCATACGGCCAAGAGGTGGCCGGCATAGAGGGGACGCCATTAGCATGGGCTTTTCCTCCACCAGCGAATGCACCTTTGAAAATGTGCCCCCGGGGGTATGGAGCCGGGGGACTGCGGGCATGTGTTGATCAACCGAGGCTGGGTGGTGGCAAATTGCTTGCGGGTTGGCTCGTTGGCTGTGCTCAAAAACTTTTGTCGCATCCCCGCCGGGCGGTCTGCCTGGGTGGCCGGGCCGTCGTGAATTTATTGTACTTCCTTTGGGGTTAATTGGGGTGGATGTCTGTCTGTCTCTGTCCGTGTGTGCCTCTGGCTCTTTTTCTCTCTCTCTCTCTCTCTGACTCCGCGTATCACTCTCTCTCCCTCCCTCACCCTCTTCCACTTGAAGCCGGCTTCGTTTCCGGCCAATTTCTCATCAAGCCCGGCGAAACACAGCCAGCTGCAGGTGTAAATTTAGAAGGCAAGTATCGCACGCTTTTCCCGCTTGACCTACGCAATCGAAGACCCTGGAATTCCCCCCCAAATAACCTCTGCTAGCTTTCCCAACTTTAAGCTCGAGCCTTCGCTTTGGTTTTTTAGCTTTTTAGCTTTAGTTTACAAAGTTAAAATCAATCCTGTGAATTTCCAAAAAAAACCCACCCAATAGCAAAAATTCCCCATCCTTCGTCGTCGTCGTAATGGCTGGCATATCGAGATGGACGATTCTTCTAGGGCTTGGACGTCGTTCTTCTTCCTAAAAATAAATTCTTAATTCGATTCCACCATGTTCTCAGCTCGCTTGCCAGCGGATTTTAACCAAATACCTTTAGATCGTACCAGCAGGCCCGTACGAGGGGGGGCACCGTGGGCACGGTGCCCCCCGAAATCGGTCGGGGTCCGAAAAGTTCGTAAGGGGGGGCCCTTATGTTTTTTTCGCAACAATTTTTCTGCCTGCGGCGCTGTTTATCACTGTTTCGAAACGATTTTTACTCCTAAAAACCTATTTTTCTAAAATTTTTTTGCCTGCGGCGCTCGTTTTCATTAGTGCACCATTTTTGCTGAACAAAATTTCGCTTGCGCCCGTCGTTCCCGATGCGTTTTCACACGAATTTAAGCGTTACGACCGCGGTTTTCTCAATTTTTTTGCCTGCGGCGCTGTTATTGTCGCTATTTTTGAAAGTTTTGAAAGTGGCGACGGGGGGAGGTCGCCAAAATTTTTTGGGTGGGTGCCCCCGAAATCTCGGCTCCCGTACGGGCCTGCGTACCAGATACCTTACAAGGCCCCTTCTACCATTTTTCGCAACTTTCATGCCTCTTCAACAAAAAGCTTCAACATATCAACACTTGATGGCCGGAGGGGAGACAAGAGAGGAGGGAAGGCCAAAAGCCCTTGGCTCAAAAAGCCATCCCCCCCTCCCACCTCCGGCTCACCTTTCCGGCTTTTGACTGGAATGTGTCCACCTTCAAGGTGCTTTCCCCCTGTGGCGTTTTTTGCGGCTCATCGATGCTGTTTCGGCCTCCCGAGCTGCTCTTGTTTGTCAGCTATTTCGGGTTTATTTATTTAGATTAATCACGATGGGGTAAAAATTACGGCCCCTAATTAAACCTCCATTAGCGAAGAATTTTAATCAAAGAAACTGAAAAGCTCATGTTTTTTTCATTCCGTTCATGATCAAAATTTTACTAAAATCGCGCCAAAACAGCAGGTAGTATGTTTTCAATTTCCGCAGTTTTTATTTAAAGATTCGGCATTTTTAAAGGTACTTGAAAGTTAAAATTCGACCTTTTCCTTCTGCAAAATCTCGAAAGCTATGCGCCAGATCAAGAAATGCGTTTCCTGAATACGAACTTTGGCCCCAAATCCTAGTTTGCTTATCTAAATTTGGTGGCTACCAAAATTAGCCCAGAAGTTTTTTTAGCATAATTCCCAACTACCGACAAAATATTAGACGGTGTATTTCAATTGAGAAGCACGATAGCTCCATTAAAAAGCCAGTCCTTTGACTTCGCAGTCCCTTTAACCGAATTCCTCACCGATAGTGCTATCGCGGCTCCTCCCTCGAGCAGTGGTGGTCCCAGATACTTGGGCGCAAACGTGAACGAGTCCTCATCGACGAACGCGTTCATCGCGTACAGGCCGAACGGCGACTCGCCGACGTACAGCGTTTGATGAAGCGCTAAAAATTAGCGCTTAAAAATTTTAACTATAACCAACTTGGTTTATCCGGAAGTGTGCCTCCCATCGTGTCCTCGTTTTCCCAAGTCTCGGCGCGGTAGAGGGCATGCTGAAAAAACTGGTTAGCTCTTGTAATTCAACCCGAAGCACCGCTATGATACATTTTTTCACAAATTTTTAAACCTTCGACATCTGAACCATTTTCTACCGGCTTTAGTAAACCTGAACTGTAAGTTTGACAGTTTAAGGCCATTTTGGGATAATACTAGCAGTTTTCCGAAGCATCAAAAATTTTACGGCCTCTCTCTCTCTCTTCAAATTTCTAGAGACTGTCATTAAACTTGCTATGTATTGCAAAGTGCGTAAGCCCAATTTACAGCAATTTCAAGATCGTAAAGTACTAACTATTTTCGTAGCTTAACTTTTTACCCTTTTCTCTTTTCTGTTCCGTATTACTTCATAACAAAACCCAAATCTATGCCCATATTTGCAGGCGGCGCCATTCCCAAAACCGGGGCCCGCGCCCGACACCTATCGACACCTCCAACGACCCACAAGGTCTGTGTGGTGTCGCGGCGGCGAGAGCCGGGTCGTTTGAGACAATTGATCACTCAATCTCCATTTGCCTGTCTCTTCCACTCATTCCCCCCGCTCACATCCCGGCTCCACACCCTGCTGCCACGGCGACAACCGGGGGTAAGCAGCCTCGGCTGGAGGCGTCGTCTGTTCACGGTTCGTAAATGAGGTGGAATGGGTAGTAACACGCCAAAAACAAGATGAGCGAAATTGCGGAACGCTAGCAAATAAGCTCGAGGATGAGCGAATCTTTTAAAGTAACTAGGAAGGCAGAATTCTGGATTTCGGCATGATTAGGCGACGAAAATCGCTAAAATGCGCATTGCACTCGTGTCGAAATCGTTAAAAATCCTTAGCTAACAGCATCCATAGCCGTGCGATCCTTGCCCGGTCCTTTAATGCGTCATCCGCAAGGTTTTCCTTGCAGCGGCTATCTATGGGGTATGGAGTCCCCGTCGGGCTCGGCACCAGCAGATGACAAAAAGGAGGACTCGAACTTGCTCGAGGAGCCGGCCATAGAGCGGAAGCGCTCCGGCGGCCGCTCCCCCACACAACTTCACCGCGAGCACAGTCGCGACTTATCTCAGGTAAAATATCAGCAAGGTACTGAAGTATCCTTCAATTTCTAGGGGTTCCGGCACTACCCGAGGACAACAAGTATAGGCAGCAAAGGGAGTCGAAAAAGCGCGCTGCTGGGCAGTAGACAGCCGAGCGAGGACAGTAGGACGTTACGGTAGCTGGGCATGGTCTTGAATGGCACTTTTACAGGTTTACGGTAAATGGCGGGGCGCCGACGAGTCCGAATGAGTCGTTCAACACCAAAGGGAACTGGATGCGGCGGTTATCAGTTGCGCCGGGGCTTGCGCTACGCGAAGCAGGTACAGTAGAGGGTACAAATTAGTGACTTTCGCGAGTTTTGCAGTTACCGCTAAAAGTAGCCTTTAAGGGGGTCTTCAGATCTCATGCTCTCCCTCCCTCCCTGTGGCTCTCTCTCTCTCCCTCTTCTCTCTCTCTCTTTCTCTCTGTCTGTCTCTCTTACCTAAACTCAAACATGCCTTTTAAAAGAGCTAGAAAGCCCGAGGATGGGCTTATGCTAGAGATCGACTAGACGACAGCTACGCACGAATGACACGGCTACCATGTGGGACTAGGCAATATTTTTCGACATCTCGAAATTGGCGATATCAAGCCGATTTCAGGAGTTAATTCCAAACTTCCCGGTCTCGTTAACAACATTAACCCAAAAATTCTTTCGCTGCTACCACCCGCACTCTCACTTTTTCCATGTTTCCCCCGACCTGCCCGAAATCCGTTGACGTCGGTTGGGGCGGGAGAGCGATTGAGGGTGTCGACGGGAGGGGCCAGGAATTTCCGTCGACAATTGGCTTCTCCTCAGGGAGGCCCATTTAGTGTGTGGCCGTTCTCTTCGAGACCCCCGACCCGACCAATTGATCAGCCAATAGAGGCACACCACCGGCAGGGCGGGGAGGCAGTACATTATCCATTGGGTCCTGTGGGCCCCCGAGGCTGGGCCCTAAGGGGGGAGGAGAAAACGAACATACACGACGACACCTGGTGCTCACCCGCTGGGCTCGAATCGCCTCGGGTGTACCCCGGCACTTCTTCCCCGTCGTGTTACGTGTTTCCGACGTGTCAGCCTGCGGTCATCGATACCAGATATTTTCTATGGTATAGCTGGGGGTGGCCTAGTCGCGCCATCGTATTTTCTATGGGCCACAGGCCGTTCGCGGTCACTGTATTCAGCCTATGAGATTCACGCCCAAGCCCGTCCGGCCGATGCCGGTGCCCAAGCGGTACACCGTCAAGTATTCGGGTGATTTTTTGGGCTACGCTTAATCGATCGAAATCGGTGCCTTCGCATTACCGGCGGCGGGGGAGCAAATTTTTTTGTCTTAGGAACCAATTTTTTAAATATACATTGTGGAAGTGTTTCTAAACTGCTTTTTACTATTCTTAAACGTAAAAACTTTAGAAAATTTGATTAGAAAAACTAAAAAAAAATCGATTTTTGGGACAAAAGTGGCCGTTTTTGGTCAAAACTTTCACTCTAAGTCCGCAAGTCTGCAAACTTTGTGAAGAAGTTTTGAGAAAGGTTTTCCAATTAAAATATAGTTTTATTTTGCTAAAAACATTATGCAAATACTTTCTATTAAGTTACTAGATTAGATTTCTAGATTAATACAACAAATTCCCCCCCCCCGGTGGGGAAAAGGTCACGTGGCTTTTCTTTTAAAATCCTTTGCTTTCTGGGCCCCTTTAGCCCCCAAAACCGTCCATAGGTACCCGGCGTACGGTTAATTCTTAATTTCTAAAAATACGAGATAACCCTAATAATTGTATGTTGCCCAAAACCCCACAAAACCTCCCCTTTTCAGCACCAAAAAACGGCGGATTATCAGGTCAGCCAAAAAATCAGCCACTCTAGTTGTTAGTTCCGGCCGCCGTCAAAGCCTTGGCTATACCATCCCTTATTTCAATGAGCCCACGCGAAAAATGCCAATCCGACCATTTCAGGCCTGTCGCGGATACGAGTGCGTGGCCACCTCGGTCACCTCCAGTATGGGGAGATTTTGAAGCGCTTCGAGCGGCAGAGTACCTTTCACGGCATCTGCCACGCGTCGTTGGCCCCGAATAAAAAGTGGCGGATCTTTTGGTACACCGCATTCGGGATCTGCTTCCTTTTTCTGCTCGTGCAGGTCGTCTTTCTCGTCATAAAGTATCGGGAGTACAAGAAGACGGTCGATCTTGATGTGAGTTGATTATAATGACGTAAGGGCGTCCTTGTGGGCTTAGAAAAATTCAAAAGTTCAATTCGCGTAGACTACCGGGATCAATTTTTGAAAAATCCTTATTTAGAAATCATCCGCTTTTTTTCAGCTCAAATTTGAAAATGCACCATTCCCGTCGATCACATTGTGCAACTTGAATCCGTATAAAAGAAGTGCTATAATGCAGAATCCAGAGACTAAAAAGACGGTAGGTCCAAGTCGCGATAATTCAATCACTGTTTTTCAGATGGAAATGTTCTCAAAACTCGTGAATAAAGGTGACAAATCGGAGGGCGTGGCAGCGTTGTTACAGGCGCGCTTACAAAGCCGAGGTAGATACTTTAAATCCCCCAGAAAACCTTCGCCGATTACAGTACGCCGCGGCAAACGACGGGTGAACAAAGCTCACAACCGACGATATCACCAAGTATTCGCGCAATGTCTCTGTGATGTGGATACAATAAGCGGGGAGCGGAAAGGTGGCTGTATCGTGGCGCAGAGTGGGAAGGTGTCCTTCGGCTTCACCACGGCCACCCCGTTTAATTTGCATCCCGCAAAATGCCTCTGCCAGCTTGATACGACGTCGAAGACCATGTGGCCGTGCTTTCCATGTAGGTTTTTGAGCGTTTTCGAGATTTCGAGCTTTCAAGCTTAAAGGGGCTCTGGCAGCAGGCCCCTTTTTCCACGATTCGTGGAGGCGTCGCGGTCGGGTGCGTCGCGGCAGGGAGAGAAAGAGCGCGCCCAGAGGCGAGACGCAGACAGATCTCTGCGTCTCTTCCCGGTCCCCAAAATGCCGTAATCGGTGTGCTGCCAGAGCCGCTTTAACCACTTTCCATAAAGAATGACGAAAATTAGAATTTTCAAATTTTTAATTGCCGAGATGTGAGAAAATTAGGATCTGGCAGAAAGCCTCGCATAGCAAGCTTGGAATTTTTTAGATTCAACCTGGAAAGAGCGCCTATGCGCCGAGTGCGTGCCCAGCTCCGGCCACTGCCCGATGCGCTTCTACAAGGGCAACGAAAAGTACGAGGACATCCAGGACAAAGTCGACATCTGCCTCTGCCACAAGGACTACAACCACTGCATCCAAAACAACGAAGGAAACGTCATCCCCGAGATCGGGCCCGAGGAAGAGATCTCCTCGCTGAACATCACCGCCCAGACGCAGAAAGCTTTGGCCAAGGCTGGAGGCCCCAAGGTCACCACCACAACAACCACCGAGGCTCCAGAAGTAATTGAAGCTATGGGCTTTGCGGTAAGGAGACCAACAAGGCACCAAAATCTTTGGTTTTAGGAGCTCACGGATGAGATTGCCATCACCTCCCAGGCCCAGCAGAACATGATGTACACCGTGGGAAGTATGGGGGATGGCGAGAAGACGACCATGTCCCAGACCAAGGACGACTTCATCTTGCGCTGCTCGTTCAACCAGAAGGATTGCAACATTGACGAGTAAGTCTTGAGCTTCTTCCCCAACAAACTTGTTTCAGGGACTTCAAGCTGCACTACGACCAGACCTACGGAAATTGCTTTACGTTCAACTTCAATCGAACGAAAAAGCTGGAGGCCCATCGAGCCGGAGCCAATTATGGTAAGTGGAAAGTCACGTTTAAGGGGGTTAACCAAACAAATTATGGTTCTTTCGCATTATCGGGGGGGGGGGGGACTAACGTTTTCTTACGATCTAATTTACAAATATAAATAGTGGGTGCTTCGAAATAACAAAAAAGTTTGGTCCCCCCGCCGATAATGCGAAAGAACCCAAAATATCTACGTCGGAAAAGGTTTTCCCCTTATTTATCGATCAAAGGGGTGGAACAGACTTACTAGCCCCTTTAAGACCGATGATTCCAGGTCTGAAAGTGATTTTGTACGCCGACATTGCCGAGTATCTACCCACCACCGAAGCCGTCGGTTTCCGGATCACCGTGCACGACAAGTGGATCGTCCCTTTCCCCGATGCTTTTGGCTACAACGCGCCCACCGGGTTCCTGTCGGCATTTGGTGTCCGCATGGTGGGTGTCAACATTTACACTGATAAGCTAGACGGCCAGTGTTAATCCGGCATGTTTACAGAAAAAGTTCCGACGCCTCGGGCCGCCCTACGGGGACTGCCGATCCCCAGCCAAGAACGAGATGAAGGACGACTTTTTCTTGTACCAGAATTTCAACTATTCAGTGGAGGTAAGAGAGGAGATCGAGTGAAAGCGGATATTGCTGTTTGGGTGTCATTTGCCCCTCCGGTCAACCCTAAATCTTGTATCTCCGCTCCTCGTTGGCCTGTCAGGTCGTAAGGTATATCAAAATACTGGCGAGAACAAGACAAAAATGTTATACCTTATAGCCATGTAGGCCAAAAGGGAGCCGAGATACGAACGTTCGGGGTCGGTCGGCTGGGACAAAACGCGCCTTAAATATTACTTTTTAGGCTTGCCACCGGAGTTGCACCCAACAAGAGATCCTCGGCAAGTGCGGATGCGCAGACCCCATGTATCCGCTGCCCAACAACCCGGGTGTGGAGAACTGCAAGGCTGGCGATCCAATGGCAAGGGACTGCATCAAGAACACCTCGATCGAGATTGGTGCCAAGATTGCGGAGAACGAGCTGAGGAACTGTATGTGTCACCAGCCTTGCGAGTGAGTTTTGAAAATTGTCCGTATCACGTTTCCCTTAGCCGTCCCCTCCAGTTATTTCTAATTAACGCGTACGTACGCGTCGCGCGTCGCGACTTATGCCCACAAATGTGACGTGCTTGCGCGCGTTTACAGCCTAGATACATTGAAAGAAACTCATCTAGGGAAACCAACTACGAGGTGACCTACTCGGCAGCCCGATGGCCATCCGGGTCGGCCAACGTGATGGAGTGCGTCTCCGGGGACTCGCTCTGCCTCGAGAAGTACAAGAAAAACGCCGCCATGGTTGGCTTCACAAAAATTCAAAAACTAAACTTCAAAATCAGGTCCAAGTCTTTTACGAAGAGCTGAATTACGAGACGATGGAGGAATCGCCCCAGTATTCGGTAAGAAATTATTCATAAACCTAATTGTAAGCTAGAACTAGCCTTATCTATTTCTCTAATTATACTGTCTAATGATATCGCGCATTAATGACCTTTCTAGCTAACCAGCATCCTGGCCGACTTGGGTGGTTTGACCGGACTTTGGATCGGAGCCTCGGTCGTTAGTTTATTGGAAATCGGCTCGTTGATACTGTTCTGCTGCCAGGCTTGGTTCCGGAAACGGAAGTGGGTTTTCTAGGATATTTAAAGGGACTAGGACTCCAAAGAACTTTGCAGTTTGCTATCATAGTGTTGAAAATCAGAATGTCGGAATCCATAATATCGGAATTCCTATTAGCGAACATCCTAATGCCGAAATTTCATAATGTCGAAATTTGGTAATGTCGAAATTAATAATGGCTAAATTTCATAATGTCGAAATTCATGTAGAAATATCTCAGCGTCGAAATCGATGTTGTCGAAATTTTTTTCCACAGGATACGAGGGTTTTTCCGGAAAATTCGTAAATTTCGACATTATTAAATTTCGGCAATATGATTTTCGTGATTTTTAAAGAAACCCTACTTTTCATCTCCTTCCATTAACTCAAAAAAAATTTTACTTTCCAGGGCCAACTCCTCCAACACCCCGTCCGTAATCGTGCCCGTCCAACAAAGCACCCGACTCTCCGTCCACTCCTCTAGCATCCCTCGCTCAAAACAATCTCTAGTCCTCGACGAAGTCCCACCTATCCTCGAAATCACACCCAAATCCTCTACGAGCTCAATCATATCCCAGCCCTCTCGGCCACCCTCCAGAAAAAGCAAGTCCAGCCTACGCTACATTCCCCCCGACGAAGAGCTGCCCTGTCTGTGCAAGTACAACGACATGGGCTTCATCGTGCATATGAAAGCAATGTGTCCGGTGCATGGGTATATGGTACGCCGGAATTGGGACGATGAAGCGGAGGAGGAGGAAGATTTTGAGGAAGAGGATCAGGATTAAGGTGGGTCCAAAGATAGCTGATTAAGAAGCAAATTAAAGTGGTGCTTTTGCATTATCGGGGGGTAGTGAAATAATTTTTTAGGATCTAATGTTTTCTAAAATAAAGAGCGCGAATTCCACTGCGGTTTTTACAACTTGACTTTCAAATGGTTTAAAACTGTTATTCCTCAACGTAAACCCCTAAAATAATACGAGAAATATAGATCGTTTCGTGAAAATCTAAATTTTTTCAAGATTTTGGAGATTTTCTAGATGATTTTTTGTAAAAATATAGCTAAATTGTCTAATACGACTAGTCCATTGTCTGCGATTACATTACCACGTATCTCGCAACATATCGAAAAATCTCCCCCCGGTAATGGGAAAGTACCGAAAAGTGTATCATTTTTTTAGGAACCTCATCTCGGAGATTATTCTCATGGAAACCTGTGATATTTGGGCGCACGGACACTACACTAAATCAACGACCGTTGGACAAGACTCGGCAACAACGATCGTCCAACAAAACCCCCCGTCACCCATCCCGTCGATAGTTGCTCAATTTTTTTAGGCTAATTTAATTTTTTCACATATACACCACGATACGGGCATTGTCTCTTGTCATCACCACCAACCCCCGTGCAATTAGCGCCGGAATAAATGGTTCTATGACGTCGCTATTTTTTAATACCTTGATCAGACGCTCCATCGACTCGCGCCCGATGACCGTGTAGCGCAGCTTGTGCAGACCGTCGTGCTGAAAAGGGCGGTATTTTAAAGGTGTTGAGAAGGCAAAAAACAAAAGGATTTAGCTATGGAAATTTGGATAGTTATTCGACAGGTATTTTGTAGCGCTCAATGAGGTAGTACTCTTTTAGTTTTTAGTAGGTCTGGATCTATAAAAATTCATCATTTATTTAATTTTTCAGGATCTATCGATAATCAACTATAATAAAAAAGTAGTGGTGTCTGTCCGTCCGTCCGTCCGTCATGTCCCGAATTCAACTCGAAGGGGAAAGGAGCTAGAGCTTAGCTCTCTTCGGATTCGGATAGAGCGTGGTCAGAAACCCCAAACTGATGAAAAATATGAAAAGTTTGATTTAAACTATTAAAATTAACTTTGAAAGTGGCGCCTTAATAAAACGAGTGGGGGCCCCTCTGTCGGGAGGACACGCCCCCTTTCCCTTCGCCCCTCTTCCCCAGGCCCCTTCGCGCGCCCAGGTCGCTTTCTTAAGTTACTTTAATACTTTTTAATATACTTTTTAACACTTTTAATTATGTTAATTAATTATTTAAATTATTTAAAGTATCTAGGAAGGTATTTAGGTAGTTTTGAAGGGGTTTCAGCCATGGGGGTATCTGAAGCCATCAGGAAGGTATTTAGGTAGTTTTGAAGGGATTTCAGCCATGGGGGTATCTGAAGCCATCAGGAAGGTATTTAAGTAGTTTTTGATGGGGATTTCAGCCATGGGGGGTATCAGAAGCCATCAGGAAGGTATTTAGGTAGTTTTTGAAGGGGATCTCGGCTAAGGGGGGGTATCTGAAGCCATCAGGAAGGTATTTAAGTAGTTTGATGGGGATTTCAGCCATGGGGGTATCAGAAGCCATCAGGAAGGTATTAGGTAGTTTTGAAGGGATCTCGGCTAAGGGGGGGATCTGAAGCCATCAGGAAGGTATTTAAGTAGTTTTTGATGGGGATTTCAGCCATGGGGGGTATCAGAAGCCATCAGGAAGGTATTTAGGTAGTTTTTGAAGGGGATCTCGGCTAAGGGGGGATCTGAAGCCATCAGGAAGGTATTTAAGTAGTTTTTGATGGGGATTTCAGCCATGGGGGGTATCAGAAGCCATCAGGAAGGTATTTAGGTAGTTTTGAAGGGATCTCGGCTAAGGGGGATCTGAAGCCATCAGGAAGGTATTTAAGTAGTTTTTGATGGGGATTTCAGCCATGGGGGTATCAGAAGCCATCAGGAAGGATTTAGGTAGTTTTGAAGGGATCTCGGCTAAGGGAGGGGGTATCTGAAGCCATCAGGAAGGTATTTAAGTAGTTTTTGAAAGGGATTTCAGCCATGGGAGGGGGTATCTGAAGCGGTTAGCGTGGCTATTGATGGAAGTAGGGAAGGATGTGGTGGAGTAGGACAGTAGGGTACCGAAGGCCAGATGGTTGCGTCTGAGCGCGTAACCATCTGGTTCTAATAATTTTTAAGGAGTTTCTATACTCCAAAACGATGAAAAAAATATGTAAGCAGTGTAGAAAATACAAGGTGCTGTGTTATAAATCACAGTGTAAAGAAATTACAAGTTATACCTTGGAAAAGTGAAGATTTTACCTGTAGAAGATACATCGCCACGATCGGCTGTCCCAAATCCTTCTCCCATACGATCTGTCCGTCCGCGTCTACCGTCAAAATATGCCCAGTGCTCGACGAAGCGAAATGTTGAAATGGATAGGCGGCATCCGCTAAAAAGCAGCTGTTTGTAGAAGATTTTGTTTACACCCACTTGGCAATAAATGTGCCGAATAGTCCGTAAACGTCGCGTTCCAGTGTCGATTTCGGTCGTTTGTATCGAACATGCTCAACCGGTACTCACTACGGCCGATGAAAATCTGTAAAGATGATTAGGTTAAAGTTTCGCTTTGAAAACATACCGCTCGTGCCTTATTAGCCGGACAAATCCGTTCGGAAGTCATTGATGACAGAGTCTCGACCTTGATGCCAGTCTCCGGGTCCAAGCCGAACCAAACGTCTTGCTTGTTGCCTGGAAAGTGATGCGCTTTACAATTTCAAGTAAAGCTTAGGCTTTTAGAAACGGTTTAAATTCACCTGCGTAAAGTACTCCTTGACTATCTTTCGATGGAGACAAATGGACGAGTTGTGGTATATTAAAAGGCATCTTTTTCAATGTCCCTTCCTTCAACGAGTAAAGACTGCCATCCATCGGGTTCGGCAAAAATGTGAAGCCCTGGCGAATAGAGCTGGGCGCACGTAGGACAGGCCCTAAAGTAGAATAATTAATAAAAACCTTTCTTTTCGTCATTATTTTAACCAAACGCACCAACCTTCCTTTAATGCCCATTTTTCCCTTCCTGTCAATGTATCCAACGCGCGCAGATGCCCATCTATCGTTGACACCAGCACAGTGCCATAGTTGTATCCCTGCTGCTGGCCGTAGATTACCTAAATCCCGTTTTCATCGCAATTTTTCAAAATTACATCATCCGCTTTTGTGCCGTGTCCGCCTAGCAGGAGTAGGAAAATGAAGACGAGTAATTCCCGCATATCCTTTGCATCAAACCCGCGAATCGAAAATGGATGAGGGGATGTTGTTCCTGAAAAACAGATAAATTTGTTGCAGCAGTTTAAAAAATAGCAAAATGGAGAAACAACTTTTCAGCGCTATTAGGACCTGAGAAATCACGCGTTCATAATTTAGAGCATGCTAAATTACAAATATGCCTATTATAACATTTTTAAAACAGTAATAAGTATACTTTGTTGGTGCCCCAGTTTTGCAGTCCAAAAGCGGCCATATCTGACTCCGACTCGCTACTATGCCCGTAGTTTGGAGCCTGTTGTACCGGGGACGCCAGAATTTCATTAGCAAACACATTTGTTTCAACATGGCGTTATGCAATTTGTTTGTTGTTTTTTTTCGAAAAACAATACTTTTTTATACTTATTTTAATTACATTGAACTAAATATACGTTTTCTAGATGTCCTTCGCGGGCCTGCTCGACATCGCGCGAAAAGATGTCTCCCTGAGGTCCGATGCGCCCCAAGAATTTCACCGAGATCATCATGTCGACTTTTTGGACAAGTTTCAAAAGAACAAGGACAGCTATGAATACGTCATGTCCGAGTCGCTGCGTGTTTCCGGCATTTACTGGTGCTTGAGCGCGCTGGACATCATGGACGCGATGGATCGCGTGGATCGGGAGGGTGTTTTGGAATATTTGCGCCAATCTCGGAGGCCGGATGGCGGCTATGCACCCGCTGAGAATCACGACAGTCATTTACTACACACACTATGCGCAATTCAGGTGATATCGGCGTTTCAAGCGTTTTTATACAAATTCTAAACAAGGGAGTAGCTAAAGCCTTCGTTTTCAGATTCTCATAATCCTCGATGCACTCGATGAATGCGACAAGGACTCCGTAGCCGATTACGTGCGTGCCCGTCAAAAGCCAGACGGTTCCTTTGATGGCGACGAGTCCGGCGAGATCGACACCCGATTCACGATGGTAGCCCTGGCCACCCTGTATCTCATCGATCGCCTCGACGCCGTAGATGGCGAAAAAGCACTCGACTTTGTGAAGAAGTGCTACAACTTTGACGGCGGTTTCGGGACGCGGCCCGGTTCGGAAAGCCACGCTGGCCAGGTCTACTGCTGCGTCGGAGCGTTTGCCATTATGGGACGACTAGAGGAGCTCGATTTGGAGAGAACGGCCGAATGGCTGGCGCATCGACAGTGCGCCAGTGGTGGGCTAAACGGCCGGCCGGAGAAGCTGCCTGACGTTTGCTACGGATGGTGGGTGCTGGCGTCGCTGGCGATGATTGGCAAGCTCGACTATATTGATGTCGACAAGCACAAGGCGTTCATTTTTGCCGCCCAAGATGAAGATGGCGGGATTGCGGATCGGCCTGGAGATTTGCCGGATCCGTTTCACACCGTGTTCGGGACTGCTTCGATCTCACTTTTCGGACATGACGGTCTTCTCCCTGTCGATCCGGTGTTTTGTATGACGAAACGAGCGCTGAAAGAGAAAAGCTTTTATTGATATTCGTTTAATTGCGCTTTACTAAAATTGTATGCGCAATTTCTGACGTAATCTCGCCATCAAAGTATCTTTTAGCAGCCGCTTTTCCCATTTTTCAGGTTTTAACTTTGTATTAGCCAATCGCCGTCTATTCATTCACTTCCCGAGAATGCTCCTGTGATTTCATTCCTCCTACGGTTCTCAATTACCCTTTGCCCCGTGTCTGGCCTTGAAATAAAATTGCCCGATTTCAGATGGTCATCATCAGTCGGGAGAACCTGCAAGAGTTCGACGCTGGGCCAATTCTAACCTCTTTCAAAGAGGTACGACCCTTAAAATCAATTACGAAATATATCTTTTCTAGATCCCACCTGGTGACCATTCGCTGACCCCCTTCGAATTGGCCTATTTCGACGATTTGGCCACGACGTTGGTGGTCGACCCTTTGTTAGGATTTATCACGCATAAAATGCATAAAAGGTATAGGAGTACAAAAAAATAAGAATTTTTCTTTCAGAAAACGTTATTTGAAACACTTGGAAGGGGATCGCGCGCGCGAGATTGCGCGGAATTTTGTGCAGATGGGCGACGTTCGGGCAACCTTGCAAGATTATCTGGCCATTCCGTGGGCTCTGAACCTGCAATTTTTCATTGTCGTTTCAGGTCCGTGCAAACGTTTCTCACCGGCTACC